AATAGGGCCCTATGGTGGCAGGCGTAAGGGACCTTCGTCGCCATGGTTACTATAATAACTGTCATGGCTTGGTTAGGTTTAGGAAAAGATGGTGATTTGGGTTGAAATAAGTACTTCCTCAACATTAGACAATCTTTGTTGTCATGGTTACAATAATAACAATGTGGTTGACTGTTGAGCGGTCATGGATAATATAAACAAGATAAACAGCTGGTTTCACATGGGAATAGAACAGCGCTCTCCTCCGTCATATTCATCCATCCACCACAACCTCCTCCTGACGTGGACTTTGTCTCTCTTTATACTACGTCACCGCACTTTTCCCTTTGCTCCTGTAATAATCACTACGACCACTAAATGTTGCCTAGCAACAAAATGTAACAATGGGTCATAATGACCTGCTGCACAAACGAACTATGGGCTCATTGTGAAATGCTGCTTACAAATGAATGCATCAGCGATAATAGCATCATAATATACCATACAATAATATAACTCTCAGAGGAGATTTTTATACATTGAGTACCTTTAGCACTCCAGTATCCAGAACTGTGCTGCTGGACTTTTAACTAAAACAAAGCAGAGAGATCATAGCACTCCAGTTTTAGCTTCACTCCACTGGCTCCCAGTTTCTTTTAGAAAAGATTTTAAGGTCCTTTTACCTGTTTTCAAAGCTCTTCACTGATTGGGACAGACACTGCGGATTCTCAGTCATTTTATAATCCTTCACGAGCTCTCAGATCTTCTACTGCCAGACTTTTAAATACACACAATTTTACGCACAAGAAAACAAGCAGTGCAGCTTTTTTTTTTTTAAAACTATGCTCCAAAACTATGGAAGAGCGTTATAAGAGATGCTCAGTGAATATTTTTAAATGACTGAAAACATTTATCATCTACTCTCTTTCTATTGTTTACTTTTATTGTCCTCCAATTCACCCTCATTTTACTGTTTTGATTTTTTTTTATTGAAAAGCACTTTGAGCTACATCTCCTGTATGAAAAATGCTGTATAAATATTATTATTATTATTGTCCTTACTTCTAAATAACTCACTGTCCCTCATGGGGTCCACGGGCCGCATGTTGAGACCCAACAGAAGCAGCAATAGCAACACACGCCTAGCCGTCTGTAAAATGTGTGGTGACTATAATTCCCTACTGTCGGTTGAAATCTGCAGCATACTGTCTTGCTGTCGGGCCAAATCTCTGGGATTATGTTATTACACCCGTAATGCCAGTGTACAGTAGCTGAGCATGCACACTCACACACACTCACACACACTCACACGCACTTATACACACTAACACACACGCAGACGTGCAGACACACACGCACACACACGCACTTATACACACTAACACACACGCAGACGTGCAGACACACACGCACACACACACAAACACACACACACACACACACACACACACACACACACACACACACACACACACACACACACACACACACACACACACACACACACACAGGAACCTCAGGAAAACAAATGCTTTGTCATTTAAAGATGTTTTAATGGAAAAACAGGGATAATCACATCAGGTCTGACGAGTGTAAATGAACAGCAGTGATACCTAGAACAACCTGGAGCTTCTGCATTACACTGGAAACAGCTGATAATGAGAATATAAGAGCCGTTAGTCATCTTTGTCTTTCATTGGGTTGCAGTTGAGGTCAAAGACAGGGAAAGAGGAGGAACAGATGGATTACATGTCAGGATTATAACGTAAAGGCACCAGCTGCTAAATATAGAGTACACCTACACATGCTGGGCTCAGAGGCTTCTGTCTCTATGATTAGATGAAATAACATTAGCAGATTTGAATATGTGAGTTTAGTAAAGTAGACTGACATTTAGGCTGCAGCTGCTATCCTTAGATGACATTAAAGTCTGCAGATGGAGGATTTGGGGTCAAGTTTAAAGACATTTTAAGCACAGAGATGACGTTAGGATGAGATGGAGAACAGAATAACACTGGATGGTGCACACTGCATGTGCACAGGTAGTTCAGTAGTATCATTAGAAGTGGGCACTTTATAATGAATACTTCTCAGCCCTACTAGTGTCCCCTAGAGGCAGCAAGGTTTATTACACTGCACAATATTGATGTATGTATATATATATATATGTGCGTGTGTGTGTGCGTGTGTGTGTGTAAAAAATACATATGGAACCTGTTAGAATTTGGAAAAATTTCACATATTGACACATATACATCTAGCTAATAGAAACATGTATGTTTATGCATGCTTGTAGAGGTTACATAATATTCATCCCAAAGCCTGTCAATATATGTTGATATTATGTATTGAAGTATAAAATGAATGAATTAATCATATATAAATATGTAGATTTTTAATAAGTATGTTGTTTAGATAAACTAGCATTCTACTATGTTCTACATATATCTTCATATATCCAGAGGATATATATATAATTGTGATGATGATATATCCCGATAGGTGACATATATGGCAACATCTCTCTTGATATAGCAACATAAATGTCAGACATGACATTTCTGTATGCGGAGTAAGAGAAAGTACTTTATTTACATGAAGTCTGTAGCAGCCCAGCTGCGTTGTATGATTATATTGCTTTTCTACTGCGAGCAGCTCTTCACTGTTGAGCACTTGGTCTGAAACGGGCCGTACAGGCAGGAGGTCGAGGTGTGGGAGCTGATAAGGGCCAATCCAATAACAGACTGAGATAAAACTGCAGCTTTTCTGGAGAGTTGCGTCTGTGGTGTATCCTGGACAACACACAAAGGGCACGTCAAAACACCCAGACCCATTTATTTTCTATTACTTTACAAGATTTTTATTATTAACTTCTGATTTATTTACAAACCAAACAGCACAGGACTTTATGTAATCTCAGTTTTTTTTTTAATGTCAACATTTGGACAACAACAGACAGATGGCAGCGGTGAGATGTGAAACCACAAAACTGGAGCACATTTCACTGAAGAGACCCCTTTCCAACATGAAACCTCACACCGCGTCTTTCAAATTGATTAACAGCAAAAGTAATTACAAAGGCTTTTCGAAGACTAATTAGCCGGAGGGATTCCTGCGTCCTCCTCTCAGACTAGAGCTGGACAGTTGTTCAGTTGTTCAGAGATGTTTGGTTTTTAACAGTCCCATGAGCAAATACTGTTCCTGCTCTCACACTGTGGCAGAGATTTTGATGTAATCAGTTTTGAATAGTAAAAAAAAAAAAAAAACTAATTCTCAAAGCCTGACACTTGCATTACAATTTATAGCACAGTCTGTGAGCAAGTGAATCGTTTTTCCACTTGTAATGGCTCTGTAATCCTACGCACTGGATTTATAGAAACAATACTGGCTGTCAAAAATGTCTTCCCTAAAGTGAATGTGCTTCTCCAGTTCTGCTGTACTGCTTTACTTCATGAGTGCAGCTGTTTTTATCTAAGAAAATAAAACAAAATATAAAAAAAAAAAATACAGAATCTGACTCAGTATCTGCAGATATTCAGTATTAAAGAACTCAGATTATCATGAAATCATTGATTTCTCGCCTCAAACCTTTTCTGAGAGACAACAAACAAAAACAAAAACCATTTTATCTGATGTTCCTGATCAGAGCGAGCAGCCGCTGCAGGCTTGCAGGAGCAGACAGCACAGAGGCAGAGGGGACTTCTCCCTGCGGCTGAACTGGATGATGTATGGAGCGTTTAGTCCATTCAGACAAGTCACTGTCAACATTAACACACACATACACACACACACACACACGTGCATGGGCGCGTGTGTATGTGTGTGTATGTGCGTGTGTGTGTGTGTAAACAGATACTGTAAGTGGCCATCAAGCAAATAAAGACAATGAAGTAAAGTGACAGAGACAGAGAAAGACACACACAATGAAACTCAGTCTCCAGCTCCACTTCAGCCACATCTGTGTGTGTGTTCCGTCTTTACGACCCGACACATTAAACTCCTGTAAAAGAGCTTTAGCTGACGAGAGACTGAGCAATCAAACACTTTTGCCTCACGTACGTGTACTACAGCTGACTGCCAACAGGCGCCTGTGTGTGAGAGGAAATACAGTAACTGGTTTATAGTGTGTGTTCTTAATCCAGCAAGCCTAAGAGCGTAAAGCCATGCTAGCAGCTTTGAGAGGCTGTACTTAAGCGCTAACACATCTTTAGTTTAGCCTGTTAACATTTTAACATTTGCTTCTCGATACTAAACTACAGCTGAGGCTGATGGGAACGTCACTAGTTCTACAGGTGTTTGGGTCAAAACCAAAGCTTCGGACATATTAAAACTTAGACTCGATGACGCTGGTTGATGAAAAGTTACATTAATTCTTTAACAGTAATCCATCCAAATTGTTGTTCTTAAATCCACACGTGTTAATCTCATGGTGGTGCTAGAGGAAACGGGGGATGAGTGTTCACCCACAGGGCACCACGGACATCTCCACCAAGGCACATGGAAATCCAGGCAATAGTCATCCATGTATTTCCATAAAAGCCAACAGCAACTTGCTGCTGGCGCTAGAGTACAAGTCTACGGTGGCCCAGAGAGCTCAAACGCTGCAACTTAAGAAAACACACGCAAAGAGATGAAACACAAAGAATGTCAGAAAACATCTTCATCAGTTTGACAACACATGAGCTGCAAATACTGAACACAGTGCAAGTGTTTCCAGGGGGACACTAGAAAGTGATGAGGGAGCAAACCGTGGCTCACAGTCGTTTGTGTTTTGTCTGTTTGCATGTGTTTTCTTAAGATGCAGTGTGTTGAGCTCTCAGGGCCACCATACAAGTCAGTAGGTGAGATCCCCTTTAGGGAATATGAATGTCTATAGAGAGTTTAATGGCAATCCATCCAGTTGTTGAGCCTTGACTGACCAGCTGACACTGCTATCCTCACAGCCACTCAGCTACTGTAGCACAATGAAGAAAGAAAAGAAAGAGGCAAGGCAAACGTGAAAATAAAGAGAAGCTGTGCTGAACTGGTGAAATCCTTCATTCGATGTCTCTGTAGAACAGCCAATCAGAGTTCTCTGCCTCAGCAAACAGTTCAACGGGCTGAGCTGTCAGTCTGATGTTGTCCACTGACTGACTGTCAGCCTGTTTTATGCTTCAACATGTTTCTGCAAACAACTTACTAAAACACTGAGGAGACCACAGAGGTCACCTGATCGCACCAGGTCAACAAGGAGGATGTAAAGTGACATAAGGTAAAACTCACTTTGTGCAACAGTTGCAGTTAGCCAGTGCTAACAATTAAACCAGAATTTGGATGAAATTTGTCAGGTGGAGTACATTTGTCCTTTCTGGCTTTTTGTTGCAAAAAATCTGCCAAATTTCCTTTACACAGACACAAAGAAGAACAAAACAAATCAAATCATTTTCACTCCAAAGCCAAAACACACAAAATAACAGCAAGTTTAAAAAGAGAAATTGAATGTGAACAATTTAATGGCCTAAATTGCACTGGAACCAAAGCTGGAACAACACTAATCACTGTCAATGACGAACCTCAAGTCCAAAAACGTAAGAATTAGAAAAAAACTTCATATATTCATTGACGTCCATGTTTTTTTTCTCTCTGATTTACAGCTTTGGTTTTTACTCTCTATGAAACTGTCAATGTAAAAAAAAACAAAAAAAACAAATCCCAACAGCAGTGACAGGAGGAGCTAGTGATACGGCAACAGTGAACACACAACATGTCTGACGACACAAGATTTGAAAATCACATTTCTGCATGTAAACGATGAGAAGGCAAAGAACCTCATTAACATCAGATTTGTCAAAATATATTGTATATATAGAGAGATATAAATACAAACAGGCAATAAAAAGAACAAATAAAAAGGGACTGTGTGTCGCTGTGATCCATTTTACTCCCAGTGTATGTACAATCAAGGCTTACAAAGCTCATAAATTCAGGGATTAAATCACATACCGACACCGCCGCCTCCGTAAAGCAAACACTCCTTCTTCTCTGCGTTCCCTCTTTCATCCATCAGTTCGTCCACCCCCCCATCACATGTGTATTTAATCAGCCATCCTTTTCCTTTACTCCACCTTGTACACCGATATTCATCTGTATCATTTCTCGTGTCTTTCAAACACTCCCGCTACTCCGTGTTCCTTCCATTCGTCTGTCCTTCCTCTACTGCTTCACTCCATCTTGGACATCTCAAACTTGGTTGTCATGGTTTCCTGCAACAGGAAACACACCATCGTTTTGAATTGCTTTTTGGTTAAGAGCAGTTGAGAAATCTGACCATCTGATACCAGGTGAATTTATGTCCACTGATCCACCTGGCTCATTTTGAGTGTTTGGTGCTTTGTCTATTAACATGCTCCTGAAACCATTTCTTCCTGGACCTGCAAACTATTGTTCCAAATATCAAGGTACGCTGCGGGATTCAGACTTCCCTTCCTGTGAACTAATGGGCTTTGTACAAACCAAACCAAAAGTAAACAAAAGTATGTGGACAGGGGTGTGGCATCACAGAGATATCATGTCCTTGACAAACATCCTGAACGCTCTAGGTTTATTTACTGCAAAGAGGTCATCGCTGCTTGTTTAGTGTTTAGTGTTAATATGTCTGACTGGTGCGCTGGTTGACATCGCAAAGCCAAAGGAATACATACAGTTACAGCCTGGCAGGAGTTCAGACACAAAACAGCCCTGCATTGAAAAAAAGGGGCTGCAGTGTTGGGGGCGTGTTGCCGCCAGGACAGGAAGTCCAATCTGAGTGACACATCCATAGGTCTTCAGGACTATCTGACACCTGAACATCTCACACTGGTTTATATGTATTAGAATAGTGATGCTGATTTTATCAGGACAATTGCAATGTAACAGTAGTGCATTGGTTTTCAACCTGTGGGCTGCGAAGTGAGCTGACAAATGATTTTCAAAACACTACAATTTTGGTGAAAAGACGTAATTATAAAAAAATATATATTTATATTTTATGTTCTCAAATGTTTTCGAATGAAATGATTTTTAAAATGTTGAAAAACTGTTGAAAAAGGCCTGTCATTGTGATAAGCCAATAACGGGAACTTTTTGAACCACAGTGTGCACTTGTTTGCTGTCTCAGTCTGGTTGCTCGCTAAAGATCACATCCATGGCAAAAACCAGAGAATCAAAATGGATAGCTGGTTAGCAACAGGAAGAATTAAAAGGAAAGAGAGTCGAAAGAAAAATGATCCCCCTGTCAAAGAAAAAAGAGAAACTGAGCTTCCTACATGTTCCCCTGCTTCTGAATGCTGATCATTATCATCAAAATAGAACGTGCTCGGAGAACATAATAATTTGGTCACCGTGTTGTTTCACGTCAGAAGTGGGCTACCAACAGTTTTGGCAGATTTTCAAGTGGGCCACAAGTTGGAAAAGGTTGGGAACCACTGCAGTAGAAATATGGTGTTTGCATTCGTGTGATTGGCCAATGCAGCGCTCGAGTCAAATGACAACACATCATGTTCAACCTCTGCCCAACCAGGCGGCCCTGCATCTTCAAATGAACAAGGGGGCTGCATGATTTGTCTTCATGCAGAGCTAATGTTGGTCAGATTAAGCTGCAGGGCCACTCATGGCCACCAGATCCTGCTCCAGTAAAACTCTGACTGTACTGAAGTGAAGGGGAAAACCCTAAAAATGTCTCTAGAAAGACAAAGTCGATTCATCACCGATCGAGCTGAAACGAGAACGTGTTGGTTTGTTAATGTCCCTTCAGAGTCCTCTTCAGTGTTAGGCTATATCATGGATGTGACGTCTCAGTGTTTTAGACTTTCTGAATCACTCTTTCCTCCACCTACTACTAGCCCACCCCCCCAATGTTCAATGTTAACATTTGCTATTAACTACAGCAGCCAGCTGACGAAAGAAATTGCTGACCCATTTTTTTTTAATCAAATGAAATGATGTATTTGTGAGGCGTTTTTAAAGATTTCCATCTTCAGTAGGAAGCAACAGGCTTTGAGCTGGGAGACACAGACAGAGGAAGCCATACAGTACTGGGATCTGTACACGTTGTCTGAAAGTGAGGCCAGCAGCAATAGATACAGCACGATGAATTGACTGAATATGGATCTCAAATACCAGCTGGAGCCTACCGACTTTTCTACCTTACTGTTCACCAGCTACTTGATCCTGGTCAGTGCAGACACTGGACTACAGAGAGCAACAGAGTTTTCTTGATCTTTTAATAAGAGAATTAATGATAATTATCTACAGCTTATCTACAGCATGCTGTTGGAACGTTTGTTGATGCTTATGGAATTTGTATAACTCCTCGACCTGACACCAGATCTGAAAAAAAAAAAAACTGGACCCAATACAGTGCTCATAAACTAGTCTGCATGTATAGCGCTAGCATGAGGACTTAAGGATTTACAGGTAAGTTGCAGGTTGCCAGCTGTAAATTAAATACCAGTGAAAAGCTTTGTTTTTGTTTTTTTTAATACCAAGAAAAACACAGAGTTTTGCCATTTTTAAACCTGAAGTTTCTCTTGGGTTGATCATTGGGATGGTGGCAGGGCAAAGCAACGTCCATCCTTAATCAGGATAAATTATATAATTTGTCATAATGGGAACAATGAGCAGGTTAGGTTGAGATGTCTCCTCCGTGTCCTAAATAACTGGAGCGGATTACGTAGTCGGCCATAAGGACATGAATAGCAGGGAGTTAAGGCAAATGTTTCCCCTTCATTTCATCCACTAATAAGAGAGCAGCATTACATAGTTACTGTTCTCTCCCACGTCAAGCAGCTTCAGTTTAAAACATAAAATCATTAACGTGATGGAAAAAAGTGTAACCCATAAATTACTCTCATTGTTACGACTAATGGATCTGAAATGAGCAACATTTTGTTCTGAGTCAATCAAAACCTTCCTTCCCTCCTTCCTTCTTTTGTTCTATCCCCTCCCTTCCCTCCTCCTCTCTGTCCTCACAACACAGAGTATAAAGGGCATCAGTGTGAGTACTTCATATTACTATGGATTTAATATCTCTCAGTGTGCATACAGCTGCTTACATAAGAAATTGAGTTTACATAAGAGGCACTTTGTTGATTGTTGGATCACTTAAAGAGCTTCCACTCAGAGATCAGAGTAAATAATTTTGAAAATGCTCTGAATAAACAGCTGACAGAGGAGATGAACAAAATCACAAGCAAATGTTAAACATACAGACACTGACAAATCAGTGACTAAGAGATTCTGTGTTCAAGATGACCAGTAATAGCTGCAGCAGAAGCAACACACCAAACACACACACACATACACACTGACGTCACACCGTCACATTGTTCTCCTTGCCATGACAACAGAGACGAGGATAAACAACTGTGTGATAAAACCGTGGCAACTGATGCTCTGTACTGATTGTATGCCGCCCCCTGCTGCTAACAAATATAAGTGTGTGTGTGTGTGTGTGTGTGTGTGTGTCTCCTGCAGCACATACAAATCTTGCGTGAGGAGATTGTCTAATACTTTGTCTCAGTACGACAAATGGACCAAACATCCTCATCTGTGTTTTAAGTATTTACAAAATAAACTTGCTGTTATTATCTTGTTATTTTACAAAGCTGCCATTTTCTCTTCTTCTTTTATGTTTTTGAATAGATTTGCACCTTGTACTCAGGTTGTATTTCTACTGTTTTTCTGGTACTTTTCTAGTAGTTTAGAGGAGATGCACCTCTGTCTCCACCTGACATGAAATACTAATTGAAAAAGAGCGTGCTTAAAAAAACATGTGTCTCAGTCTTTGTTTAAGTGTGTTTGTCTGCACATGTAAGTTTACTTTTAATGTCTACAATGGCATTTATTTTCAATAGATTGACGAGATTCTTTAAGATAAAGAGCAATTTGCCCAATATAGCCACATTTAATACTCAATATACTGTGTACAACTTAGTTTCATTTAATGGACTAACTCTCAGTCTATGTGTATTGTCTTCAGTTGCTACCATGTTCAAGTCCAGCTCACCCACCAGTAAACATGGACAACTGATACCTTCTAAACTGATTGACTTTAGTCTTGTTTTCTATTTTGCTCACTGTATATTTTTATTAAATTTAATTCTCAACGATTATAAATTTGAATCTTACTCTTACTGTTTGTTACATCATAGTTCACTAATGAAGTGAGAAAAGCAGACATCTTACCTCATCAGAGTCCAGCAGGGGGGGCAGGGCGCTGTGAAGAGAAGACTCAGCATCACATCTGAAATTATGCCGTACAGTAATAATTTCTGCTATCAACAGGTCTGGGCTGAGTTCATGCTCATGATAACTTACACATCTGCCATAGACGACGGGATGTTCTCTTCGACCCACTTCAGATCCTCATCCTGGAAAAACAACAAAATCACATTTAAGTGTTGTTGTGTGTTTTCTCTTCAGGAATCAATGAAAAAAAAAAGTGTAATCAAATAAATGCTAATTCATGTTTAAAGACAAAACTGATGGTTGAGTTACAGCTGGGTAACTACTATTTAATATGTGTACTGTAACTGTAATCAAAGGTATTCATTCAGCAGCTTTTCTGAACACTCAGTTTGGAAACTCTTCTCAGAAACCAATATTTCTGCAGAACATGTGAGGAGTTTACATAGCGCCAACAGTTATCAAACTAAACGTGAAACTACCTGACCAGCCCCCCCCCACCATCTCAGTTAATGATACATCGTCTCTACTGGACTCTCACTACCACAACCACAGCACCAGAAAACAAACAACCGCTGACAGATAACAGATAATCACATTAGCGTTGGAATCTTAGATGGAAACAAGACCAGATCAAAGCCTTGTATATGTCTGGACCACATATGGTCAATGTGTGAAATTGAGGCCATAGTTGAAAACTGTTGTGAAGCCGTTGTAAATCACTAACATATATGTGCTCACATATACAGTATTTTAATACAGATGAATTGACAATGAAGCTGTTCTCATTGACATGTTTTTTTCCTCTGTTGTCAGACAACAGAACAGGGAAACCAGAGCGTCTCTGTAGACTGCCCGTAACAAGAGGCGCAGCCCTAAGCCCACAGTTGGCATCCATACACGGTCCAGTCATGAACCAGGTTTACACCCAGTCTTGTTTGAAAAAAAGTCTCTATATCTAGTGACAAATGTGCTAAGTGGCAACACTGCAGCCGCTGAATGTCCCCTAATATAAAATGAAACTGTTGCTTTTCCAATCAATCTGAAAGAGCAACCGTTTCATTTCACCGTCAGTATCATGGATATATGATCACTCAGTCACTCAGTCACTCAGTCAGTCAGTCAGTCAGAGACATTCCCCATGAAAGGACTGGCCCTGCTCTTGTGGTCCAGCCGAAATGACAGCGGACTAACAACTATGGTTTTAATGTGTTCAGATGCTTCTGTTGGTCCTACACTCATTCCTCTGACCTGAACTCAAAAAGCATTTTGCCGTCACTCACCACTTTGTTGGCTTTGGCTGTGCCGTTGGTCTCGTTCTTCATGCCCCTCATCTTCATCCCCTCTGCAGACATAAAGGAGACAGAAGACACTGAGATGATGATGTACATTTCACTGAAAACAGATCACACACTGAAGATGGTTCCACTACATACATTACTTATAAACATGTTCTTTATGTTATAAATAAGTAAATACGTTTGTTAGTTAATTGAGCAGTAAAACTAATTGAACTAATGAAGGGAGCAGATTTAATGACTTTATGTTTTTTTTGAGCTGTGTGTCCCCAACTATCTAACTGGTCAACTTAATAATTAACTCACTAACTAACTAACTAAATAGTGGAAGAGAGAAGTGAGACAGAAATAACACAGGAAGGGAAGGAAGGAGGAAACAAGTAAGGGTGGAAAGTAGAAAGAGATTGAAAGGGTGGGAGTGTGCAATTTTCTGACCGAAAGCCTCGTTCATCATGGGCTCCTTCTCCTCTTCCTCACTCTCTTCATCCACCAGAGGACTGAAGGCATACCTGTTATAGAGACAGAGAAACTGGCTTTACTTTACAGTTCAACACAGAGAATCTGTCAAAGTAACAGCAACAGGCCCGACACACGTCCCCCTACCTCTGGTTATTGGCCGACGGTCGCCATAGGAACATGATGACCAATAGGATGATGGAAAACAAGAAGCGCCAGAACGCGTCATCTATCCACAGCTCCCTCCAGTCCTACAGACAGGGAGAGACATGTTTAATGAAAATACTTCAAAAGCACTCAAGATGTTCATTCAGAGGAGAGGAGACTGAAGATGAAATGCATTTGTGCATTTGCATTCTCTGCTGGCTGATTACCTCCCAGACAGAATGAAAAAAAAGAAATCAAATAACAAAATTGGGTCAAAACCTGGTGTATGTCTGGACCAACGTGTGAAACTGGGGACGTAGTTGAAAATTGTTTTGTAACCACTGAAAACAACTACGACATCATTGTGTTGTAATTGTATTCAGTCTAGTATCAGCTGGTTTCAGCTCTTTATCTGTTCTCTTCTCTCCTCCTCTCTGTGCTCACATATACACTATTTTAATACATCTGAACTCACAATAAATCTGTTCTCATTTACATGTTTTACTGTTGGCAACACTGCAGACTGTGTGCCCCATGATAGAAGCTGTTTGTTTCAAATCATTTTGAAAGAGCAGCAAACAATGAGGAAACTCCAACTCAGTAATGTGGCATTCGCCTGACCAGTGGTGGAACTATGATCACTCAGTCACTCAGTCAGTCATGGATTACACTGCCACACAGGCAGGTGTGCATTTATGCTGAAAAGTTCTAACAGAGGGTAACAGAAGCTCTTTCTGTGTTATACAAGTATTATGGGAAAGTTAAGTGTTAATTAATACTTGACTTTCATAAAAAACACCAATAATGAAAACTACTAAAATCAGAACTTATTCCAGATACAAATGTATGAACACTGTCACCCAGAATATGAAGTATACGGGCGACCACTTTCAACAGAAAATCTGACTCTGCTACTGTTTTTTATTAACACTTTTTACAAATTAGTAATGCCTCTATCAGCAAAGTGGAAAAATGTTCATATTGAACGTAACTGCAAAAAGTTTCCTACAACATCCACTCGCTTCAACCAAAGCATGATTCATGGTTTTATGGTTATCTTTAGGCAACTCCCAATACATCAGTATCACTCACATGTCTTCTGATAGGTACAAGGCAAAACCACCTCGCAAAAAAACACAAGAGTTTTTATCTTTTTTTATAATTTTATAATCAGAGAAAAGATAAATTAATCAATAAAAGAAGAAGTTTTACCAATGAAGCTTTCTAACAAACTGCGTGACCTGAGCTGTCACAGTTTCTGCTTAAGTCCAAAGTCTCAAGTACTCACAGACAGACATTTAGACAACTTGAAGGTCTTGGTTGTCCAGATGATGAAGATGACCGATGCTGTAAAAGACACAAACACACACACGCTTCAAAGACCTGAAATGAGTTTCGGCAAATATTAAAACACAGATTATTTTTCATACCGATGACGGCGAAGATGAGTGTGTTGGTGAAGTGCCTGTAGAGAGAGAGCTTCACCACGTTCCTCCTCAGCCGCAGCAGCTTCATGGTCTGAGCCAGACTCACAAAGATGTGACGACACAGTCAAGGATTATCAACGCCAGAGAAAAATAAACACAATAACTGGACAAATTCATCATTCATTTCTGTTTTAGGTCACAAGTGAAGCCAAACCTAGGTGTGTTCAAGAGGCACGGTTTCAAATGGTCTTGGGTTGTTTCAAGGAGTTCAAGGAGAGACGGCAACTGCAGCAAACAAGTAATTCTACTTATAGTTTCAGCTGCAGGAATTTATCATTCCTAATGTTTTCCCAAATGAATATAAACATTTGAAAAATACAGCCAAACATATATTTAAACTGTTCATGTATCACTAAGTTAAACTTAATTTAATTGTTGATTACGTGACATTAAAATTCAGTGCTCATGGTTTCTACTAAATACAGACGAATACACGAAGACGAACAAAGCAGAAAAATAGGACAAAAATGAAAAGGGATGAAAAACAAACTTTCTGAGGTACTAAAAAGGGGGAAGGAGCTTTAGCGGATATCCACCAGCAGAGGGTAGAGTCGAGCACAGCCAGAGGAATAGCAGCCAGGAGAACTACATCGTCTTCAGCCTAAAGACAGAAAAAAGGAAAGACAGAAGGGGAAAGGGAGGGGAATGGATGGGGAGTGGGGAATACACAGAAGGGAGAGCAAGAAAAGGAGGGCAAGAAGGCAGGGTGGAGGAAAAAGAGTGACAGGTTGTATGAAAGAGAGGGAAAGAGGACGGGTAAAACAGGGAGAGTAAAAGGATAAAAGAGGGATGAGAGAAGGGAGAACGGAAGTGCAGACACACCGTACCACAGATCAAACAGCAGCTACTGGTCATTCTTAGTTTGTTTTGGCTGACGTGGGGCACCAGGTGGGTGGGCTGAGTGACACCCGCCCACCCAACAAACAAAGACAAACACAACAAAACAGCAAAGAAATTCCTGAAGTCAACTTTACAGAACCAAACGTGCAGAGAGGAGCATCAACCCAGGGGGAAAGACAGACAGAGGACAAACAGGTTTTAGGCTTTTGTCTCCCTCTTGTGGCAGCAGGTGAAATATGAAGCCTGTGTGTCTGTGTGTGCGTGTGCGTGTGTGTGTGTGTGTGTGTGTGTGTGTGTGTGTGTGTGTGTGTGTGTGTGTGTGCGTGTGCGTGTGCGTGTGCGTGTGCGTGTGTGTGTGTGTGTCATCATGGCAAAATGTGGTGCTGGAGACACCTACTGTAGCTGCAGCTGTACCACAGAGGTGTGTAGTTGAGATCAAAATGAAGGCAGAGATCCGACACATCAACATGTTAATGAGCGTCACAGTTGGTGTGATCCCATGAACCCATCACAACATGGTCTCTAGTTTTTTTTATATCATAGAGATTCATTCTTAATCTTGATACATATCTGTGATCAAATATTTCCAAGTCCTTCTTCATTGACAGACACAGCTGAGGACAAAGGTTGTGAGTGGACTGTGAGTTTAGAACATTCTATCACAGAATCTGTGACTTTATAACAACAATGACTCAGTAAACGCAGCTTTACTGTGGTGGCAGAGGTGAACTGAACACACTGTGAGTGTAAGCACACACAGTCTCCTGCAGTAGATGAAATAAAGTGAACTAGAATTACCTGGTGGTTGTCTGCCTCCTCCACTCAGACTAGTTTCAGTTTACATGGCTGTTTATCCAGAGTCAAATAAAATCATGAATCGTGAACTATGTCATAATTGTTGCGTGAAGTTTTGACTAATGGCTAAGAAGCATTTTGTGAGGTCACACTGTATTACTTATAGTACTGTTTGTACAAAATCTGAAGAAATTCCCTCAAGGCACTATGGAGATATTGTGTTCAAAGGCCAAAACCATGACCTTTGACTCCTGGTGAATGTTTGTGCCAAATTTGTTCCATCAAAGTGTTACTGAGATATTGCATCCACAAGCTGGCGCTGGCACTGGCGCTGACACATGAACCATTTTTTCAGTTTCAAAACAATAGTTTGAAATTCGTCAAACTACTCTGTCAAAACGTCCTGTCTGACCACGGGTTGGTTGTGTGGTAATTACACCCAGTCAGCATTTCCAGCCGGATTACGATTATAAACCAACACATTTGCAATCCATGATTTCTGAACTGTCAGATGAGAAACATTAAATAAAAATCTAAAACACATGAATTTATTAATGTGGTATCCTGTGCCAAGAAATGTATGTGGAGCACCCAGCTCAGCCAGACACAGATAAGTGGCAAACCACTTGGCAGTAAAGATGGCTTACTTCTTTACACCCTCAGCCCAGATTTGTCTGTTACATGAGTTAGAAAGTCTCTAGTGAGATGATGAGTGGTCTTAAGTATGATTATTTCTGAGAGCCACTGGTTCTGTAAAAACAACTTCATATACACTCAATAGTTTATCATCACTATTATGCATCATCACTGGCAGATGCACTAGAGCAAACGTGAAACATTACATTCTGGGAGGAGGGGTGTAACTGTGCATGCCATTATTTTGTGGCAGTGATATGGAAAGTGGGAGGAAGTTGAGGTGTTGAGAGAGCTGCTCCAGGCTACGTAAAGAGCCATCAGTCTATAATAAAAAGTTTATATATTTTATTGTTTTAATTATTTGGGATATTTGTGTGGATAGGGCTTTTATTTTGGTTTTATTTATCAATTTCTATTGTTTGATCGGGGCTGTTAGTTTGTCTGCATGTTTATAAATCTTTAAGTTTTGGTTCAGATATGATCTCTCTGCGTGGTTTTATCCTTGTGTGTGTGTGTGTGTTAACATGTGTGCGTGCTCATGTTAAAGGATATCCACCAGACAATACAGGCGTCAGTGAAGGCCAGCACTATGTCACACAAAACTCTACTGCTGGTGTTGTCTCCTCGATCCTGGAGGGAAAGACAGGTTAGACACACACACACACACACACACTTGCTCACACATGCTCACACAAGCACACGCACACGCACGCACGCGCGCACACGCACACACGCACACACACACACACACACACACACACACACACAGACTTACAGCGTTGACTCGTAATATTCCCTCGATGATGGAGAACATCAGGTAGAGCAGACCCACTCCGACCACTCTGTGAAGCAAGGCACCGAGCCTGGGCCTGATGGAGAGATACAGAGATACAGAGTGTGAGAGAGGCAGAGTGTTTGGGCCCCAATAAGTGGAAAATGAAAATGTGATCATTTACTTGCTGCTTTTTGGTTTAAAGATTGAAAACTTGGCAGGTTTTTTTTTGTCATGTAAAACAAACAATCTGAACTCTGATGACATGTTCGTTGACATTTCTTGGATCAAGTGAAACTGATCATTAGTTATGGCTCTAAAACCTCTATAGTCTTGCCAGCCCTCATTAAAATACAAGAAACCCTCAGGATGTTACAGTACAAATCCCAGACGGCAGGTGAAAACCTACTTGACGATGCCGTATCCCAGACTGGCAATGATCACCAGTACCCTGGCCAGAGTCCTCTTCACCGCAGAGAGCACCTCAGCGAACACCACTGCCCCGTGCACTGCAGGAAGACACAGTACAATTCATTAATCCCAGAACACTGTGTTCATCAACAAATATCACCTCTGCGTGTTTTACACCTACCTGACAAGCCGTCATATCTGATGCTCTGGAATTCAGCGTAGTAAACAGCTTTCTCCAACATGCCCAGGAAGATGACTCCTCCAATCCAAAACTGGATCCTGAGAAGATCCCTCCAGTAACAAGCCGACAGAACCAACCACAGCACAGCCAGCAGCACGTACACGATGCACATCACCATGTAAAACTGGAGGCAGAATCAAAGACATAGTGTTGACTCCGGGAGAACATCTGTGACAAAAGTGAATTTGTCAACAGTAATATATTCTCAGGTGCTCTCAGAAAGGAGGCTTGGACATGAGTTTAAATTACTTTAACTTTAAAAGCTCCATATTTTCCTCTTCTCCAGTGTTTTATTTGAAGTGTTGATCCATAAGAAGATATATTTGTGGTTTTAAGAACCAAAATCCATCTCAATGTATTTTTACATCTCTTCTCTCAGGTTTCTCTCTGGAGCTCTAGTAACAACAGGTCAGTGAGCCAATCAGAAGAGAACCTGAACCTCTCTTCTGACTGGCTGACTGTTTTCTGAATGATCCAGTAAAAATATAGCGTATTTCAGGTAAAACACTCAGAAACCAAATCTGCAAGGTTGGATGGTGGGTCTGGGTGGGCAGGGCCTGGGGCGTGGCTGAGAGCAGTGACTGCTTTGTTGTGACATCACAAAGTTCCAGAAGTCCTGACGGCTGGTTTTAAGGCTCAGTTTCTGAATACAGGCTGTGTGCATTTCTCTGTGGACTGAGGCTTTGATACTTTCACAGTATTAATATAGAACCTAGACCTGCTTTATAATCAAACAACACATGGACAGAGACCTTTAAACTATATGGACCTTTAAAGAACAAGTCTGCTGATGTTCTATATCTTTCTTGTCCTATTTTTTTCCTTTCTTATTGCGCCTGTTTAAGTAATATTTACTAAAACTACAGTGACCAGCTATTATCAGAAATAACTGAGCCTTTTTTAAAAATGAAATTATACATTTGTGAACTGTTTTTCAATCTTCACATTTCCAGTAAGCAACAAGTAAGTAATTAGCTTTAAAATGAGATCTACAGACAGGGTAAGAAAGTAATGAGAGATGGATTTATTGACAATCAAAAAATATATAAGACCAGACTCATCCTTTGATTCACTGAATATGAAATGTTTGATTTTTTCTTGTGTGTGTGTGTGTGTGTGTGTGTGTGTGTGTGTGTGTGTGTGTGTGTGTGTGTGTGTGTGTGTGTGTGAGTGCGCTTACCACCATCAGAGGCCACTCAGAGGCTGATATGTAGTCATGTGGACCCTTCATGCTTATCTGCACTGCAAACACAAACAGACAACATCAGACAAACTCGTCACTAACGTGTCATGTTATTATGAACTTCTAGAGAACGCCCAGAGCTGATCTGCAACTTACAAAAATGTCCGTCATGCTCCATTGAAACACATGAATTTCAGTGTTGTGAGCAAGTTGACCATGAATGAACCACGAAGTGCACCGGAGCAGTCAGCAGAATGATATTTCACACCCGTACTTTTAATGGAGTCAAAGTCAAACATTTGAATAGCTTTACTCTTTTCAGTGTAAGTTTACTGTGGGCTAAAGTTTGCACTGCCCAGCACTTTTCTGTACTAAAATTTACATGAAATATCATTTGAAAAATGTCAGAACACATGCAAGTATTTTCAATGGGTGCAAAAACATGTCACAATGTCAACATCTGTGAAAACTATAATAGATGTCTCTGGCCCAAACCTTAAAAGGATTAGGTTCACAACTTTTCAAGTCTTTCTTAAACCAGATGTAGGGCTGCACAATTAATCAAAATCGAATCAAAATCGCAATATGTATATCAATTTTTATGATAAAGGTAAAATGTGTCACAACATTGTTGCACATTGTTAGCACCATAAGTGTTGTGGTGCTACAGAGATGCCCTGACTTACAAATCATATTCTCCAGACAAAAAGGAACATGACTGTTTGGTACAAGACCACCAAGAAAAACAAAAAAAAAAAAAAACACATCATCATAATTTTTATTATTTTTTCAGCGAAAATGAAAATGCAAAAACGACAATTCCAAGTGAAATAGCAATGTCTGCCAAAATAATAGCAATATAATTTTTATTTCTTTTATTGCATATTATGCAGCCCTAACCAGCAGTCGACTCATACTGGTTTATATATGAACATTAAAACAGGTTTAGCCTGCTGGTATTTCTCCTGTTCAGCTGGCTCTAAGAGGAAAGAGATAATGCACTTTGAGTGTAAGAGACAGAGAATAAAATCTCTATTCCTCATTCTTTGGTGTGAGTCAGTCAAATCAAGTGGGTTTCTTCCAAAACTACTGTGTGTTTGATACAAAATTACATTTTTGTGCTAGACTTCAACTTGGGTGGGCCACCCAGGTATATTAACACGCCAAAGTATATCTGGCCCATTTTAGCATTTTTTTCCCCTATCTTTTTATCCGCCCGAGAGAAGGATGCCATCCACAATCTAATAACTAGTAGACAATTTCCCCTTACTCTACCCCTCTTCTTCCAGTTCATTCACCCACCACAGTCTAACTTGCGATGAAAATGAACCAAAATATTTTTACACTTTTCATAAGAACATACAAGATCTCTAGTGTTTTGCCATGTTGCTTCATTGTAGAGCTGTGTGCAGGCCATTGATTCACTCAGCTCCTCTCACTCTCTCTCACCAACACACTGACAAAACAACCCATCTGTCATGGTCCAACTGGCCATCAGAAGCACAAGGAGAAGTCCTGCCACATCGGTGGACTGTCAAAACATCCCTGCCTGTGTCTTCACCCTCCTTCTCTGTGTGCCTGTCATTTAGGGTGCACATGAGAGCGTGCTGCATGTGTATTCTGAGACTGGGCTCCATTCAAAAAGTGTAATCAACCGTCACCAACCCCATCCGATTGTGACTCCACCCACACACCACACAGAGTCTGTATTCTGTCCCCAGTCTTTTACATTGGAAGCAAACTAGGAAGTACATCAAGGCAAACCTGATTCAGTGATCAGAGCTGATTCACTGGGCTGAAAAATTGTGAACACATTCTTTAAATACAACATCTGGTGTTCTCTGGAACCTCGTATTTGAACAGTTTCACCTCAATGCTTCATCACCAGCTTTCCAATAATGCTGCAGAGCTGGTAGAGTCAACATCACTGATGGTTAATGGTTAAACAGGTAGCACAGTACAATGTCTTGGCCAAAGGAGTGTAATGTGTGTGTAGGTGTGTTTAAGTGTGTACTGACACTGCAGACTCCAGGTTGTGGGGGGATTAGCAGACTCAGGGCCTTGGCTGTTGTCTTTGCTTTCTTTGATGTTCAGGATGAACATGTATGGTCCGTCCTCCCAGCTCTGGGCCACCGCATCAACGGGGGGGTGATGAGCCACCTGTGCAAAAACACAGCGGAAAATGTCAACAGAGATGACACTGCTTGGCATTGTGGCTTGGATCATATACTGTTCAGTAATACCAGGATTCAAACCAGCAACCTCCTTCTCACAAGCTGCTTTTCCAACCTGCTGTAATAAGCAGGTTTAGCTGATCCAGCTGAGCAGTGTGACTCACCTCTTTAAGAGGGGCGGCTTTTCCTTTTTCCCCTGAAGCACCTTCCTTCTCTAGTGCAGCAGCCTGAGAGAGAGATGGAGGGGGAGAGAGCAGTAAAATCAGCTGAGTCAAACATTTCATAATTATAAATAAAATTTAGATCAAGAACTTCTGGTGCTCTACCTGCAGAAAAATACGCTCCTTGAAACATACACTGTCAGTATATGTCAGCACTACTGAGTCTGAAACTTACTACAATGGAAACCATTCATAGTGATCATGTCTGCCCAGATCAAACTGATCATTATAAGCAGATGATTATTATAACAGAATTTTCTGCATCGGGCCCTCTCCTGCTCCAAGCCTGGTCTGAGTGGTCAGGGTGAAAGCATCACACCTCACTCACTGACACACACCTGCTGCTGTGAGAGAGCTGGGGCGATAATTACACACTGTTTAAGTCCCAAAACGGGACACAGGACACACATCACAAGTGAGTGTGTACAGCTTGGTCGGGTATGTATGTATATATGTGTGTATGAGTACTATATATATATATATATATATAATGTATATTTTATTATAAAACTGATAAGTTCTCTTATAATTGTGTCTTACAATTCTGTGTTGCCGTGTTGTTTTGTACCAAATACAATCGAAATCAAAATATGGCCAAGTGCAAAGTGTTTGTTTGGTACAAGACCAACAAAAAGCAAAATTTTGAATTTTTTTCAGTGAAAATGCAAAAACTACCATTCCGATTGAAATCACAATATTTGTCAAAATAATGACAATAGGATTTTCTTTGCATATTGTGTAGCCCTACTGTATTATTATGGAAAATACTGCATATCGTGGGAATTATTGCAATATTCGATATTATTAAAAGGACCACATATTGATTACTCTATTGTGTTTATAACTACTGTTTATTGCTGCTCTGCATGTCAGTATGTTAAAGGTTGTGTGTTGTTACATGGCTGTATGTACTGAAATAGTGTTTGTCACTGTATTAGCGTCCTAACGTTTCTGTTTCCAGTTGCTTTGCGTCACCTGTGTTTACATGTTTGATATTTCTCATTGTTGTTGTTCCTGTCTTCTATGATGTTGTTTTAAATCTCATTGAGTTGATGGTTCTTGAAACATTGCGCCTCAGTACTGCAGTTGAAAATGAGCCAGCTGGCTAACACCGGCACATTTACAGTAACGGTGATAAATGAGCATTATCTCTAAACAAATGGACAGGGCCGTTACACACTGTCGCTCCAAAAGCCTCGTACAAATATGTCAGTAGAGAACCTCAGCATGTGACTGTTCGCTATATAGTAGGAGGTGACAGTTGTAATTTTTTGCCATAAGTTGTCATTTATCAAAAGACCCAAAATGAACAATGTAAGCAATTTTTTAAACAGCATTTGTATAAGAATGATTATAATGTAAAGCAGATTCTGCACATCTGAAAAAGTAGTACACGGACAACGAAATCATCTTTTGTGTTTTACTGTGTGCTCTGCTTTCTGATTTGCTGTATGTGTGAGTTGCACATGTGGACCTTTGGTTTTGGAGGCTCCACATCTCTCCTCCTCCTGCCTGAAGTCTTCTCTGTGATTGCCTGAAACAAAGGAAACAAAAACAACATGTCAATAAATATGGTCTTATGGGTTTAGTTGAAGGATGCCATGATCCATGACAGCGTTCTGGTTCCTGTTGCCCTGTGTGTGTTGAGATGGAAATGGGTAGATTTAGTAGAAACGAAGGCTATGCAATGCTTATTAATAATCAGGCTTTTGTTGAATACTGCAATAAAAACTGAGCTCAGAATATGATCATACCTGACAAACCAGACAGTGTGTGAATAAAGACCCAGAGCTATGATGACTGTTAACAGACCTGCAGAGTTTGGAAAGGAGTTTTAACACCTACCATGTGACAGCAAATGATGCTGGATCACTGGACTTCACCTGTGAAACTGTACAACTGCATTGATAGTTGTGTGTTAAGGGGTTGTTCTGTAGCTGCAGTGGCTACATGCACAAAATCCAGAGCTACACCAGAGCTAAGTTGCACCTACTCAAAAATGTAGTCAGGGCTACAGCTGCTACAGAGATATCAAGTGAGGACAATGTGAACTGTGATTGGCCGACCTCTGGTGGAGATTACAGAAAATGAAAACGTGAAGCAATTTGGGGAAAAAAACCTGGTTAGCTTCCCCTTTCCACTGGTCAAAAAAACCCAGTAACACTCGCTAACATCAGGCTTTTCTCTGCAGTGGAAAAAGTAACAATCTGCATTTACTCCCCGGTCAAATGACTCTGCAGTAGTCACAGGTATTTATTGGCTCTGGCTCCAATTGGCTTTGATGTAAACACAACATCCGGGCGAACTCCCTAACTGTTACCCCTGCACTGACAGGAGCACCAATGTGACAGACCCATTTTACCAGTCTGCATGGCAGCTAGCAGCTCACTCTTTGAATCTGCGTCCATGTGTGTGGGTGTGTTTGGGTGTTCTGTAACTGCAAGTGATGATGTTGATGCTGCTCCCTGCAGTTGTGTGTGTCCTCTCAAACAGAAAGGAAAACTCATCTGGCTGTGTGAAAAGAGTCAATCTGCTTTTTTTTTAGTATATACGTGCTGATTTTGGTGTAAAAAGAGTTTATTGCTGAAATACCGTGAATGAATGAATGAATGCAAACGAGATGACTCCTCAGCAGTAGTCTTATTCTCAGTTATGAGACAAGGCGACAGAGAAGTCATCCGGATGTAACTGCAGTTCTAGAAATGCACCGTAGCGCTGCAGGACTCATATCACACAGTAAATCAAGGAATGTAAATATAATAAGTGTGAGCTGTCAAACCCGCTCAGGATCCAAGTTTAGTGCAAAGCAAAATAGTTCAAACTGTTATTTGCTGCTTCTTTTTACGTGCAGGTCTGGGTGAGACAGACAAGTCCAGAGACGGAGAGAGGCAGAGAGTGTGGCTCACCGGTTGCTGCGGCAGTTCTGTCAGCCGTGTCCTCACGTCCATCGTCTGCAGGCCGAACTGTAATGTAAAACAAACGCACCCAATTTTTAACACAATCACCATATTGTGTCAGTGTATGCACCGTGTGTGTAGGAGAGAGACAGAGAGAGAGAGAGACCAAGTGGGGAGTGCTGTGTGGTTGGCAGTCGATGTTAGGATACTCGTGAAAAACGTAGAATCCACTTCCTCCTCTTTGTCTGACCTCCATCGACCTGAAAAAACTTTCCGCCTGTTTCAGCTGCAGACAAACAATAAACAGCAAAAGATAAAAGACAAAGAGAGAGACAACACAGACGTGTTATTCATTTAAACATGATGGGTCCCAAGATATGAAATCAATTACATGATTTAACAATGGCCATAAGAAGGTAATTCAAAATAACATACGTCCTAACATAAAACAATTAGATTCATGTAAATTAATTGGATTGATTTTCACTTTGACTCAATGATTGATAGTCAAAATTGTCTTTCATGATTTTCTGTAGTTCAACTCTAACAATCAGATTTGTTGATGAATCACATGAATCTGTTTCACTTTTTGGGAATATGGAGGGCAAAAAAAAAATATATATATATATATATATATATATATCAGCTGAGCCTGATCTTGGTCCAGACCTACCAGAAGTCTGGACCATGTAGGGTCAATGAGTGAAATGATGACAAGTTGAAAACTGTTGTGGAACCAGTCCAGCTACTTTCAATGTAAGACGCTAAAGCTGCTGGAAAAGTCAATAGATGACATAATACACTAATTAGCATATTCAAGATGTCACTGCTTCGTGTTAGCATTTAGTCTAGTATCAGCTGGTTTCAGCTCCTTATCTGTTCTCTTTATACAGTATTTTAATACAGCTGAATTCAAAATGAAGCTGCTGTCATTGACATGTTTTTTCTGTTTCTGTTGTCAAGACAACAGAACAAGTTTGAAACAGTGACTGAAACATGGTCCATTAAGACTACATGTTAACCAGCAGCCACTTCCAAGCTGCTGCTGAAATCCTGATTTTTAGAACCACTCTTCTATAGGCACAAAATGGGACCAAACCACATCTACAAATCTGGATCTGCAAGTTTAGGTTGTATTGAACTCAGTAGAGTACAGTAGACGAGAGTGTGTCTTACATCCATGCCGAAGACCTCATCATAGCAGTGTGAGTTCCTCAGATACCAGGATATATTCAGACGGACAGGAGATGAGGAGTTACAGTTCTCCACTGCCAAAACACACACACACACACACACACACACACACACACACACACACACACACACAAACTGTTGTTATTAACAAGTGGATTTCCAAAAATGTGGGACTGCTCCTTTAAAGGCATCAAAAACAAACGTAAGAAGAAGAATCGTTCTGTCTCCAGCAGGATCTACTCACATCTGAGATGGATGAAGCTGCTGTTGAACAGAGTTTTAGTGAAGTAGAAGTACTTCTGAGTTTTCAGAGTTTCCTGGAGAAAAAAAACATACAAACACATGATCAGACCTCAGGAAACATATCACATCCTTCCAGCGCTTAAGATGCAGCAGCAATTACTAAACCTGATCTTTCTTCATGCTGAAACCTTATAAAAACACAGCACACACTTAGTTACAGGCCACCAGTCACTAACTGTGACTGGTGGCCTGTCACTAAGTGTGTGGTGTGTCAACGGGCGGGTTAAGGTGCCAACAATAAAAAGTACAATTCTGCTACACAAAATTAGGTTTATTTGTCAGACTTTTCTTTTGTTTGTTCTTGTGAAAAATTTACCGTTTCCTCTTCAGACCTCTAATAATGATCAAAATGAAACAGAGGTGCTCCTCTGTTTGACGAGCCTCAGTCAGGCAGTGTGGGATTTTTTTTACATAATGTGACTAACACTGTAAAACTTTATGATCAGCTGAAACATTTTCCAAGGCTTTTCTCTCTGTATTTAGAAGCAAATGAGTATTATCTACTACTGCAGGACAGTGAAACACACCTCCAACAGTGAGATATCAAAACATCATGGAAACTCCAGTTACAATGTCAAGGTTTAACCTGCAGTGAAGATGAACTGAGGTCTGTCCACACTGTTCATGCAGAGAGTTTGTTAAAGACTTTAAATCTCTGTCCTGAGTGTGACTTATTGTTTGAAGAACAAGTCTGTGAAGACAAACACCGCAGGAGTGGGAAGTGGAAAATGAGCAAAGCTTCCAGCTTCAGGCCACGATGCTACCTGTTTGTGAAAGAGATTTCTGCCTGAAATTCAAACCATATTTGTAAGAAGATTATTTATTCAGGAAGAATATCAATGAAAATATGTTGATGAAAGGTGTAAGGCTGCAACTCCAGCCTTTAACTACAGCACTTATCCTCTGAGGGCAGCACCGGCTGACATTATGTGAGAGGCAGGGTACACCCAGCACATGTCGACAGTCTAGCGTAGAACTGACATATAGAAACAAAGGACTACTCACACTTACAGGCAGCTTAGAGTCACCAGTTAACCTAACCTACATTTCTAACCTAGAGGAAACCCACACATGGAAACTCCACACAGAGAGGCCCCGGCTGCACAGGGGTTTGAACCCAGTACCTTCTTACTGTGAGGCTACAACTAACTATAATACTTACTTATAGTAATGAATTATTATAAATTAATAATTGAGAAGCAGGAACCAGAGAATGTCAGCATTTATGTTTGAAAAATGCCTGAAATAATTAATCAGTCATCAAAAAAATAGCAGAATAAATTTCTATCAACTGACTAAATGAACAATGACTTATAATTTCAGCTCTATGTTTATCACAATTTGTGTTGTTAGAGCTGAGACCGTGAGAATGACCTGTAAGTGAATCTATAGTGAATATAATCAGTTGGATATTAGGTTATTATTATTATTAGTAGTAGTAGTAGTAGTAGTAGTATTATACTAGAGAGGATTGAGTTGCAGTGTTAACTAAATTAATCAGTTATTTGATGGAAAGAAAATTTATCAGCAACTATTTGGATTTTTGAAGCAACAACACCAAAATATTTCTGATTCTAGCTTCTAAAATGTGAAGATTTGTTGCTTTTTATTATAAATGATAATAAATTAAATGTCGTTAGGTTTTGCACCTTTGGTCAAACAAAAAAAAAGAGAGAGGTGAACGTCACTATTAGCATGTTTCACTATTTTTGGACATTTTATTGAATAGACAATTAATCAATGTGGTGAGTAAATAATCAACGGATACTGAATATAATCATTAGTTGGATCTTAAATTATTATTATTACTATGAATATAATTACAATCATTGTGAATGCTCATCTGCACATAACACACAGTGTTTATTATCGACTTATTAAACCTGATTAAATCAATATGTACAGACTGTAGCAGAGAGAGGTTTCTATGAATCCATTAAAAACAGATATTCTCACACCTGAGCAGGTGTCAGGACACACGCCGATCAGTGAAGAAGGTGTGTTGCGTAGTTTATTGAAACGGTTTGTCTCTTGAGATAACGCTGTTAATATGTTTCTGGCGCAGCGCAATGTGCGACCGCGCAGCGTGTTTCAATGGAGTTCCGATGCTATGGCGAGACATCCACCACGTTACAACACGTTTAAACAAGGCTGTCGTTTCTCTATCTCCTTCTCTGACCCGGTTAATGTGTGAAACTGTCCGGTACAAGCCAGGTCAGGTCAGGTTGCTGCTGTAAACGGAATACTCACACTGTCGACGTTCAGGATCCATTTCCCCGGTTCGGACACGGCGTTGACTGGCCCACATAGCCCCGTCAGCACCAGCAGTAGCAGCACCGAGGACCAGAGTCCCGGACCGGCCCGAGCCGGACCCGTGGAGCTCGCCATTTGAGCCAGGAGGAATCAGAAACCAGCAGCAGCAAAAGCCACAGCGACAACTCACAACAAGCACAACTCTTCCTGGTTCCGGCTAACGTAAGCGGGTGTGGAGTGATGCTTTCAGGTGCCGTGGGAAATTAAACATATACTCTTTGTTGTTTTGTGTTATAAAGATAGTTAAAGATTTTAAAGATTTAGTTCCCGGCTTTGAACACCAAAAAACAACGAATATGATAATTTCATCGTTGTTCATTCAACAGTAAACGCTTTTTGATCACTTAGGTTTATTTTGAAAGTATTGACCGGAGGTGGTACATCTTTCAGTGTATGGTGTGTTGACATAATGTTTTGGAAATGCGACAGTGCTAAATACGTTACCTCTAAAAAAAATTTCGTTTTCAGCAAAGTTGATCTATTTCTGATGCTGTCATTTGCGTGCCAATCACATTTATTTAGTAAGTATTGAGCGGGAAGTGTTTCGTGTGTAATTTGACTTGAAGTGATGTAGTTCCTCACTGTGAGGGAGGGGGGGCAGTAAACATAACCTTCAGAGAAGAAGAAACTGTTAATAAAAAAAACACTTAAAAAATAGAATTTTTACTATTCCTAAAGTCATCAATGTTCTTTAGAAAAAATGCACCATCAACAATCTGTACACATTAACATTAACACCCAATGTGCTGACCTTAAGGAGTTAACGCTGTGTAAGGTGCTAATTTACGACGTGTTACAGTTCCTCACTGTGACCAGAAGAGGGCAGCGCTTAAAAAACTTATTAGTGTAAATTCAGAAACCATTTTATATATACCAGCCTTTCATTTCCTGTAAAATCCTTCAAAATAAAAAATAAAATAGTAAAATTGAAGATAAATAGATTTCTCTGTTTAGCTGGCTTAAGTTACACAGTAAAAAAAGAAAAGAAAAAAAGAATATCACCACAGTTGAGCATAATGAAATAATTTCTTTTCCAGTTTAAATTCTTGCTTGTTTGTTTTCAGTACATACACTACAGTACATCCAGTACATCCAGTACATACACTTGTCTTGTCCTTTTCTTTTCTTAAGTTTTATTTGTATGAAAGCAATATAATAATAATATACTAATACTATTATAATTGCATAATATAATATAATTATATGGTGCAATTATATTAGTAGAATGAATGTTTTATGTTATGTTTAATAACCTTTTTCATCTTGCTTGTTAACTTTGTTTGTAATCAAGTTATTAAAATAACCCGTGGGAGGTGTGTAAGTTATGGTTTTCAATGGCTATGAGCTGTTTCTGACTAAATTTGTACTCCAATGTCACAGCCCTGTTCACAGTTGGACAAAGGAGGGGAGACCACACATAAGTAACTAAACAACTTTCTTTCAGATAACTAAAAGGGAAATTAACATAAAGACAAACTAAATACAACAAAACCAAATAGGGTGGAAGCCAGAGACTCGACTCTGCTCACCAGGCCCCTGAGAGAGGGTGTCAACAGAGGTCTGTTTCAACTTATTTGTGCATAATTGCTGTGTTTTGTTTTTTTTTTATTGGTGTGAATTCTAATTGTTCTCAACAAGCACTTTAAATTACTTTGTTATAAAATCTTCCACACAGAGGAAAGGCCTTTTCTGGCCAGACATTGGCTCAGGAGCAAATTTTAAATGTGTTTGTGTGATCACTGTTGGACTATATAGTAGTAAAGTCATTGTTTTTCAATAGTAATTTTAGCTCACAACTTTGATCAGCCATAACATGACACAACAACAATGATTTTGTCTTTATTCTGTTTACATTCCATATGTAGGATGATTGTTCTGTATCTTCTAAGATCAAGATAGATATTCCAGTTAAAACCGCTTTCGACGACAGTGTCTGAGCTTTCCCACTGCCCCCTGAACGCTACATATATTATGTTCTTTTTCCACCTCAGGAACCTGGTGGACTGCTTTCCTTGCGTGCCTCAGGGGTGTGTGTGTGTGTGTGTGTGTTTTTGTGTGTGTGTGTCTGTGTGTGTGTGCGCGCGCGCGCGCGCGCCTGCGTGTGTGTGGGGCGGGGTTGATGATGCATTGAAAAAGAACTTGGATCTTTTTGCCCAACTGGTTTTTTTGCTCACTGGGAGTGTCATCCTGCCTCTCTATCTCTCTCCTTCAGTGTGCCTTTACCTCGCTCGCCCTCTCGCAGTCTGTGTCTCCTCTCTTCCCTCAGAGCAGCACAAGTCTCAGTAAGTAGCACAAACCTTCTGTTTCTCGTGTTTTTATGTCTGTTTAAGTCCTCATGCAGCCCTGAGTTGTGTTTAGTGACCTGTTTGTGCTGGTTTAACGACGTGTGTTGCTATGCAGTGTGTGTTTACGCTGTGTTGAAACCTGATACTATAGGTTATATGAAGATGAAGGGCTTTGCATATTGTTTAGCCCTGTGTCCAGTGAAAAAAGTGAAAATATGTCTTTTGTTCAGAGTTTCACTTAAAGTAAAGCAGTAGAATGTGATTCAGGAAGTCAGCCACAGAGCTCAGAAAAGTTCAATTATTAATGTGCTGACAGCTGCTTCAGGTGAATGCTGTATTGTAATCCTCCACTATCGTACAAGGAGGACGTATTTAGATCTTCAATTTAAAGAAAAGTACAAACGCGACACTGTAAAAATACTCTAATTACACAGCTGTACAAAAGTATTTGCAAATGAAATTAGGCTTTCAAAGTAAAAGCATTCATTTTACAGAATAGCTCCTTACACAGTCGCTGCTATTGATGCTTGACGGTGTAAGCAGCATTTTAATGTTCCTTCTTAAAATGGAGAAACTACTTTATACTGTCAGGTAAATGAATCAATAACTGACTAGTTGGAGCTAATGACTATTGTCAATATTTACCTTGCAGTCATTTTCTTCCTCTCTAAAAATGTCAGGAGGTCGCCCCACATGATGATAATATGTTGTTTATTTTGTATGAGCAACAATTCAAAATCCAGATATATTCATTCTAATATCAAAAATAAGATTTTATCAAATCCTCTCAACAATCCAGAAGTTGGAATTATTCTATTTTTAATTAAATAATTTATTATTTTCCTATAAATCAGCTTCAAATCAATTTTCTTTCTGTCACATCAAATGTTCAACATTTTTGCTCAAAGAACTGATTTTCAGGGGCGCCTCGGTGGCTCACCTGGTGGAGCGTGTACCACATGGACATAGTCCTAACCGCAATCTGACCCACGGCCTCTTGCTGCATGTCATCCCCTCACTCTCTCTCCCTGACTTTCCTGTCTACCTCTCACTGTCCTATCAAATAAAGGCAAAAATGCCCAAAAATATAACTTTAAAAAGAAAAAAGAAAAAAAGAATTGATTTTCAAAATAGTTGGTGATTAACTGTCTGTTAATTGAATAATTGTTTCGCTCTGAAAGACTATGAGTAATGCTCATCACATGGTCTCACAGCCCAAGTGTATTGTATTGAAGCAGTTGATTGCCAGGTGTATTAGTGTGGATTAAAGGCTGCACTCTGCTGTTAATGAATCATATTTGTATGAAAAACTTTTGTAAATGTTGTTTATCTTGGTTTTACTTCTTGTTCATTAAACAGGTAAATGTTTCTACTCATTATTCTTCCTCATTGCTTTCACTTTGTTTCTCCGTATCACACAGACACAGCCGTCAAAATGTTTCTGGCAAAGAATTTAATTGGAGGCATCATTAATATTGTGAGGTGAGCGCACACAGGATCCATCTTTTTCTCTTTGGTGGAGCTAAGCTAGCAGTTTCCCCCTGCTCCCAGTCGTTGTGCTAAGCTAGGCTAACTAAATCCTGAACCTATCTCTGCACTGGGCGATCATGTCAGAGCTGCTGTCTGATTTTTCTCTGCTGTGTTTTTTTTTTTATCCTCAGCAACATCGACCCCGCTCAGTTCATTCCTTCAGACCCTGTAAGTACCAGCATCATATTAGTCTGAATTAATTATTAGGTCATTAGACATTAGACAGATACATTTCATATAATGTGCCACAGATCATCTCATGCTACATCTCTGTTCTTTGCAATTATTAAATTCACATTGTCACTTATTAAACCCTGCAGGCCCAAACATTTATTGGTCTCAGTCAGTTAAAATACACAGTTTCAACTTTTCCCTTTGGCCCAGGAACTAAGTAGAGTTAATAAATGTCATGTTTTGACATATGGTGTCCAGGTGACAGTAACACATGACACAAGACACTTTTTCACCTTTTAAATATGGATTTATCTGAGTGCAAACTTCACCTTCATGAACTTATCACAAATAATATCTAAATTCAACATATTCAAATTAAATTATTGATAGATTTCTTGTAATGTAATGGCTTAATTTATTCAAGTTAATTCCAGAGTATTTAACTAGTATAGAAGTCATTATTGTAGTTACCGTCATCATCAGCCATGTACAACCTCAAGATGAAGTCACTAAAAGCGCTCATGAATCAGCTGATAGCAGACAGGACCAGGATACTGTATATAGTACGTTTGCAGAAAACACAATATGATAAGATAAAATAAAAAGCAGGTCTGATGCATTTAAATGTGAGTGACTCAGACTCTGTAGAACAACACTGAGTTCAGACTAACAGCACTTCTACTGTCTGTGCTGCACTGTAAAAATGAGTCTTGAAACTAAGTAACTTTTGTATGTACACCACAACAAATTTACATTTTAGTAAGTCCTTGTTTTTGTTAAAAAAGAAAATGTCATTTTAAAAAGATTTTAAGATGAGACAATGTGTCATTTGGGTGAAATCGTTCCAGAAACCAGTTTAATAAAAATCTGTGTGGAGCCTGGAATGTGCCACTGGTCAGTAACAGACGTCTTTCATTTTAACAAAAAATAGACTGATCGATGAGAACAGGGGATTATAAATTGATTAACAAAAATTGCATTTAAATGATGTAATATTATATAATAATCTATGATGGCAGGAGTCTGGCCAATGCCAGTTTAAGAATAATACGCTCTTAAAGGGAATATAGAGGAGGATTTTATTAAGTTTGATTGAGTTTTTCTGCCTTACGATCATGAGAAATAATCAGTACATTAGTCTTAAAAACCACCTGTGTCCATACGGATCCCCGACCCTTAAACTGAAAAACTCCTGATTGAATCAACGCTCAGATTTCTGCCAGTGGAAGATTTTATACACAAACAAACACACTGAGCGTCTCAGTGCAGTCAGACTGATGAATGTTGTGAGTGTGTGGCCTAACAGTAGCTCTCTGTGTGTGTGTGTGTGTGTGTGTGTGTGTGCAGCCTCCCCCTCGCAGACCTCTGAACTTCGCTGAGGCTCATGAGAACGATGAGGAGAAACAGTTTCGGAAGGTTTTCAAGCAGCTGGCCGGAGATGTAAGTTTATGATGTTCATGTTTAATCCACTTCAATCCTCTATGATCTTCTGTCTGTGTTAACACTGATTCTCCAGCTCCATCTAACTACGACTGTTTCTATACCTCATTTTATCCCACCAATCCTTCACAAATCATTTAGCTGCAGTTCTTGGATGATGGACTGGTCACCTTCAAATTCAATAATCAGTGTGTTTTTGTTTGGAGCATGGCAGGGAGAGATGACTTGAACTCTGTGCTGCAGAGTTCAAGGTAAGAACTGCAAAAATAATCTGTAAAGTTACGTTATTATGATTAAGATTTTCCAGTTGTGGGAGATAATCCACAGAACAGCCGTCCTCACTTTCATAGCCACTTTTTCTTCAGTAGAAAACAGTTGCAATTTTGTGAACTTGTCCGGTAACAGGAGTGCAACACTGACAAAGTGTTTCTGAAGGTGTGTTTCATATTGAAGAAACTACAGCTTTCAGTTCGGTAGTGTGAGGCTTTGAACCTGGGGGTTCAGTCTGGGTTTTAACCATGAACACATCTGCTGCTGGTTTACAGTCTGAGGGTCACGTGACTGCAGGCCTCACAGCAAACCTATTCCAGTCAGTTGTGTAATTACAGTATAATGAATTGTTTAGATCAGTCTCCACAGCACGGCTGAGCATCTTCTCACGGATAGGATCTCAGTAAGAGCCGAGCTCGGAGATGTCTGTGGTACGTTTTCAGGCGCCTTATGGCAAATAGCTGGTCGGCCTCTCTGTGGTTCCTCGTGCATCTTTTTTCTTTTTTTTTTTAAACAATCAACAAAACAACACGTTAACTTTGAGGAACATTTTTGTCATGTTGTTTTCTCAGGTTGCAGATTGATTATATTGTTTCTGTGCAACAGAATCATGATGATTCCTGCTCTTGAACAACATATGCATACTTTACATGTCAGCGTGGTGATCTGACTTTTTCCATCTTAGTGTCTCTCTCTAATCTGAGGAATGATTGGGGATTGCTCCACCCTGTCGAATGAATTTCCTGTTTTCTTTACTGGAAAACAGGATGGGTAAAGTTGACATGCTGCGGCTGAGTATTTTTTTACTCTGATTATTCAACTTCAAACATCAGAGGTGATTTGGCTGCTCAGCAAGTTTTTATTCATGTCTTTAAAAGTCCGTCTGTATCTCTGTCAGTTGGTTTTTCTCTTTCACCTGATCCTTCATCACTCACCACACCTGTCTGCTGCATTCCAGCATCAAAGCTCCACCTTCTCTTGCCCCAGCCTTTCTCAGCTGTCTCTCTTTGTCTGGTCTTTGTCTGAGCACACCAGGCAGGTTCTGTAGCTTCTACCGGTCTGACTCCCACCTGATCTCCAATATAACCCTGAGGATGTATAACATCTTTCTGTGCTCCTGCAAACTCAACTTTACCCAGTATCCTCTTGTTAAGCATTGGGATAACTTCAAACTTCACATCAGTATAAATTAAATTGAACCTATTCATGTTCAGAAAGCTGTCCTCTTAACACTCCAGGGCAACAGAGGGCGGTGTATCCAGGACTGTCCACTGTGGAGGACATTTCCTACATATCTGGGTGTGTAAAGGTCAATATGGAGAGTAACATGCTTGTATCAGCGTCAGCGTGTATCCAGCCTTTAATCGGTCTAGAGACAGACAGACAGAGAGACATCACCTTATCTCATTCAGGAAGTTTTATTATGCTTCAGCAGTAATGTGATTTCCAGGCCTGTGAAATCTAATCAGAGAGAAGCAGGGAAACCTCCAGAGTGGAAGCAGAAGTCTGCCGTTGTTTTATTTCAAATATTACAAACACTAAATAAGTGTTTACTGAAGCTGTAAAGGTGGTTTTTAATTTTCAGTAAACTATATTCCTAATCCCACTGGTGTGGCTTTACAGCACAGTACACAGACTTTGAGTGCGGAGGAGAATTAAACTCGGCTAACAGGCTCATTTTTATCTATCAGCTGTGTGTCGTTTTCTCTCAGAGAAACAGTGAATCTATTTATCATGGAGCAGAGTCGGCCTCAGGGTGTGTTAGACAGTGAAACAGCTCTTTCTCTGCATTCCTGCCATTGTCTCCAAGGGCGGCACTCAGGCATTAGGGGCGTTGTACTATGTGTGTGTGTGTGTGTGTGTGTGTGTGTCTGGAGGTTTTCTCTGACTCATCAGAGGGGTGTGTGCACCAGTTAGACCAGAGCTCATCCGGCTCTCGTGGCTGGATTTTCTCTAAATCAACAGCAGTAATAAAAGGGTGAGGATGAAGATGATGAAGAAGGTTGTAGTAACGTACCTGCCAGGCTGCGCCACGTGGGCGGGGTCAGATGGCTGTGCTGACTGTCTGGAAACGGTTAACTTTTTAAAGGTACAGGCCGTGGGTCTGTCATGACACCAGAGCTGAGGTTAAACACATCAACGGTGGGCTGGGGTGAAATGTGAGGACTTTGAGGGAGTCATCTTTAACCACTTAGCGCCAGTTTCACCTTTTTATTTCCCAGTAGTTTTATGGTTGTTAAAATCACCTTATTCCACACTATCTGACAGTATAATACATCTTCTGTATGGGCTTGTTGCAGCCTCTCAATGTCGCTGTGTAATTCTTACACTTAGTGAAATATTCAAACACCAGACTTTGTGGTTTTTATATAGCTCAGCAGATGTGGATACTGAACTTGGCACAAATCCTCCTTGAGTATTACTCTTTTGATAAGACAACAACCACAAAACTGTTTCTATTGCAATTAGAAATTACTGAAGAGACTGAAATAAGTGAAGGAATGAGAGAGTGCTGCAAGAGAAGCCAGTGTCCAGAGATAGCATGGTGTTGCATCACAGTGTTTAGGCAACATGGCGTTGTTATGAGTCTGGACCTTGTTTGTGATTTTTTTTTTTTTTTTCAACATTGAGTCAGAAACTGGAAAAATATCAAAGGAAACAGCTTTAGTTTGGTATGAGTCACACTCAGATCAGCTGTGACTCACTGTGTTTGTGGGGCTTCCTCTGTGGAAAAAACCGTGACAACAACACCCGGTCTAATGTGTGTGTGTGTGTGTGTGTGTGTGTGTGTGTGTGTGTGTGTGTGTGTGTGTGTGTGTGTGTGTGTGTGTGTGTGTGTGTGTGTGTCTTTTAACAGGACATGGAGGTGAGCCCCAGTGAGCTGATGAACATCCTCAACAAAGTCATTTCCAAACGTGAGTCCAGTTTTGTTCCTCATAATGAATCAGGAAGTGATGAGTCATCCACTGATCCTCAGATGGAAAAAGACAGCCTGCAGTAATTTAATGATTGTAATATTTTAACATGCTATTTCTGCTGTATCTTGTGCTGTTATCAAGTTCTCATTAGAGCCTTTGTGTCATTGCCTGTGAAAATGTCATCAGCTTCTTACTGATTATTAATCAGGTCGTGTGTGTGTAAACGTTCTTGTTCTCTTGTTGCAGATGGAGGCCTGCAGACTGACGGTTTCAGCATTGAGTCCTGCAGGAGCATGGTCGCTGTCATGGACGTATCCTTCCACCAAATAACACAATGCAGTACTAATGACGCTGAGTACTACTGTGTATCATTAGTAGGAGTAGTTTCAGTAAGAGTACTAGAAAGGGTGGCAATACCAGCAGCAGAAACCAAAGTGGTAACAGCGGCAGTAGCAGTTCCAATAGAAGCTGCAGTAGCAGAAGTAGCAACTGTAACAGGAGCATTTGTAATAATACCAGTAGTAGCAATGGTACAAGTAGCAGTAGTAGCAGATGCAGTCACAGTAACATCAGTGATGGCAGCAGCAGTAGTACATTAGGTAATGGCATTATCACTAGTATTAGTCGATATGAAATCATAAATAGCAGAAATAACAGGTAATAGCGGTAACTACAGCAAGTGTAGTAATAGTATTAGTAGTAGTAGTAGTAGTATTTGTATGGGGAGTAGTAACACTGTTTCATTGATTTTGAAATTTGACCTTTGACCCTGTTGACTTCAGAGTGACAGCACAGGGAAACTGGGCTTCCATGAGTTCAAATACCTCTGGAATAACATCAAGAGATGGCAGGTCAGTTCTTGTTCTTCTTGTTGTTGTTGTTGTTGTTGTTGTTGTTGTTGTTGTTGTTGTTGTTGTTGTTGTTGTTGTTGTTCTTCTTCTTTTTCTTCTTCTTCTTCTTCTTCTTCTTCTTCTTCTTTTATTATCAGGTACATGTGGCTAAAACTCATCCAACAGTCCTGGAATAAATCCTCCTTCATGAACACATATAATGCGTGTTGATTCAGTTTTATGCTGCAGTTTGTGCTGCTGCAGAATTGTACTGCATTATATGGACAGATGTTTCTATTGTTTTGTTCACCCTATATATATCAGGGTAGGCTAAATAACAAAACATCTCTCAGGTCAACAGCACCATAGACTATATCTTTGAATGATCTTTGATCCACTATAAAGGCAGCGTGGTAGAGATACAATGACATTTGGGATGAGGGCCTGGTTTATATTCATACATGTTCTATAAATGTCACTGTTTAATACAATTTAAAATCATACACAGGTTACACTACTCAAAGGAAAAATTACATAAAATATTTCCTCTCCTGTGTGTGAAACATGTGAAACAGGAGAAGGTAATTTACTCCACAGCTACGCCCTTTGTCACAAAATACAAGGTTACTGGAGGGATGTCTTTCCATTCTTGTCACTTGTACTGAAGGTTCAGATAGAACCTGACCCAATTTGAATAATTCTGGGGTTATCCAGAGAAGTCCAAAAACTAAAAAAGGCACACCGACACCTTCTAGCATATGGACTTATCAATGCAAAGAAACTTGTCCCAACATTGAAACTTTGGCTCACGGAACTAGTGGAAACTCTTCATTTAGAAAGAATACGTTTTATTATTCAGGGAAAACCCCTGATTTCTCTTCTGGCAGGTGGAACCTGTTCATAGTGCAGTCCTGATGGGGATCGGGTAGGGAAGAGGGCGTTTGATGTTTCTGTTTTATTGTTGAGGTGAGACCCCAGACAGGAGAAGCTCCGAATATGACTATTACTCTTTAAAACTAAACCAACGAACTAAAATACTATCACCTTCATGATGAGGATTTCTGGCTGGACTGTCGTGTTTGACTGACTTAGTTTTAGTTAGGTGTTCCTAATAAACTAGTAACCGAGTGTACAGTATAACATTAACATTCCTCTGTCAACCCAAAACAAGTGACCATTGCTTTAAAAAAAACATTTGAGGGTTTGAGTTACTGTGAAAAAAATTGATTATTTATCTGTTATGTGTTTGTTGTTTATTGTCTCCAGAGCATCTATTTATCCCATGATCGGGATCACTCAGGTGTGATCGGCTCTGACGAGCTGCCAGCCGCCTTCAAGTCTGCAGGTGAGAAACTGCTCTGTGAGTAATGTGTGCAGTCTGAGCAGAGCAAGTTTCACACTAATTCTGTGTGTGTGTGTGTGTGTGTGTGTGTGTGTGTGTGTGTGGGCAGGTTTCCCTCTGAATGATCAGCTTTTCCAGCTGATTATCCGTCGCTATAGTGATGAGCATGGCAACATGGACTTTGACAATTTCATTGGCTGCCTGGTGCGCCTGGACGCCATGTGCAGTGAGTCTCTCTCCCTCACCTTTCTCACCGTCTCCCCTCTCTGACTTCAGATGTTTTTGGAGTCTGTTTCAGAGACACTCATATTTACAGAATGAGAAGATTTTCTTTTGATGTTTTTAACCATGTGAACAGCTGATTTTTTTTGTTCCAAATAAGACCATAATATCACATATTTTCCGGTTTCTGCTGCTCACACTGAGTGACAGTGTATGTTTTCATAGGTGCATGACTGCATCAAATGATGAATTTTACATGCATGATTTTATACACATTTTACACAAACTTCAGTCTGACATTTTGTATCTTTTGAACCTCCACAGGAATTTAAAATAAGGTTCTCACAGCCTGTTCAGAGTTTCTACATCCTAATTTAATGTTTGTCAGTGATGGAGTTCTGTTACAGTACCTGTGATGTTGTCTGTGTAGGTGAAGGAAGTCCAAAGAAAAGACAGTCGTTTCTCTTCATCTCTGTAGATCTCTGTAGATTATCTGAGGCATAATAAATATCATAGCTCCGTCCTCTTCTCTTCTGCATAATTGGATTTTGCACTTTAGCTTTAAAGAGCTATGCTATTCAATTTGCAACAAAATATAAAAATGTTCGTTATATAATATGAAGTAAATAATGGGATCAATCTGTAGAGTGACAACCTTCCATTTAAAATCAAGTCCGTCAGTTTTCAGTTTGTGCTGCTGATCTTTTTAACAGTGGAAACGAGCTTCACTTTAAACAGTACAAAAATGAGTGTTCACTTGTTTCAATATGAATGTAACTGTATTGAGTCATTGAACATGGTAAATGATGTGTGTGTGTGTGTGTTCTGCAGGAGCCTTCAAGACCCTGGATAAGGACAACAGCGGCTCCATCGACCTGGACATCAAGGAGGTAAAACACTCTTGACTGCTCTCACTTCTCAGATTTTACACACAGGTAGTGTAAGTCCAAGTAGCTGAGGCACAAAGTTGTGTAAAAGAAAAAAGAAATGATAAAATTGGTTATTGCACTTACCATAATAATGGTAATATAACAAGCAAAAAGTACAGTGTAAACCTCTGTATTGTGATCATACTTAAGGCCAATTTCCTTTATAGATACCTGACAAAGTTTACTACAGACTTTACTACAACAGTGCTGTGTTTAACTAAATTAGTTTCGACTGATCTTCAATTCTAGGACAAAATGAACTGTAAACAAAATCACAGTATAAATGACTTTTTCAACCTGAAAAAACAATTTTTATTACTTTATTACTTTTTTGTTAAAGTGGTAATTACACCTGCGCCCAGTGAGAAGGGAAGATATGTAGTGAGTCTCTCTCTGTCTCTGTCTGACTCACAGTGGCTTCAGCTGACGATGTACTCATGAAGCGATGGAGGGACGCTGCTCCTCAACAAAACCTCTTCTGCTTCTCTTCTTTTATTTCTTACCTCATATTCTCTCATTCCACTTCATGACATCTGTGCTCATGGATGTGTTTGAAGCCCCTCTGTCTCCATGGTAACGGGACCAAAAATGCCAGCATAGAGCTTAAGTCAAGGGAAAAATCAAACTTGGACCGAAGTGGAGCCGATGCCGTTGCTGCTGCTTGCACCGTCCTGCTGCCGCCAGGCGGCGGCGCTACAACGTCCCTGTGTCACAGATTTCTATATTTCATGTTTTATGGCAAATTTTTAAAGGTTTTTAAATTTTTATTTGGCTGAAACTGTTTGTAGAACTGACTCTGAATGTTTAACAGAATAAAGCAACACAACTGACACAGCTGGCATTTAAGTGTTGTGGTGGCTAGTTGTGGGTGTGACACTTTGTCGACTGGATTTTCTGTGTTTGTGCAAGTTGTGTTTCTCTGTATGGGTTTCCTTTTTCAAACCAGCTCAGCAATGGTGGCTGTTGCTGCTGAAAGGGGAAGAACATCTGATGTATTACTTTCAGTGTGGCAGAAAACAGCTCCCAGACAACAACAGGTTAGAACAAACTTCTGACATATACCACTGACTGGTTTTATTTTGTTGTGCTTTGAATCTGACATCGTTATGACAATGAGTACCAGCTACAGTACAGTTACAGTTCTGGATTTACACCATAAATATATGGGAAATAACTTTTATAAGGATACTAGTCAAATCAAGTCGACTTTATTTTCCAGAGCACATTTAAACACAGCCTAAGCTGACCACAGTGCTGTACAAAGGACATTAAAAAATAAAAAACAGGTAAAACAAATGTTAAAAATAAGTAAAACATAAAGAAAGCATGGTAAATATACTGTATACAGAAACATGTAAACATACTAAAAACAAGAAAACAGCAAGGAGCAAATACACAATTACAATATTAACTAAAATGAAAATGAAAGTGGAGTTTGTAGTGAATTTAATGTAGCATTTTCTTTTTTTACATATATTATAATTCCAATATATTGTCATGGACTTTACCTATAATAAATGTCATAGATCAAGAGGCTTTTTAAGTCATATCCCATGTAAATCTCCTTCCTTTGGGTCTGGAGTCTACACAAGCATAGGCATTTCATTTTGTCCAACCTTTATTAAACCATGAAAACCTCACTGAGCCTTTCCACAGAAAGGTACAGACAAACAACACGAGGCAGACAAGACAAAACATTTCACTAAATCAGAATGGAATGCGTATATAAAATAAAGAATAAGAACTGCTCATATAGTTAAGATTTTGGACAGGTCATCAGTTCGTCACAGGCTGACGTGAAGCCACACACACACACACACACACACACACACACACACACACACACACACACACAAAGCTAATTTGCGATTTCTACTTGCAGTGAGTGTCTGTGTTGAAGGTTGGGAAGGCTGGTCTGGTTTACTGCCAGGTTCATCCCTGAACGGGGCCATGCGGTGAGAACCACCTCAGGATGAGTTGGCTTCCTCTCACTGGGCCTTTTTGCGTTGCTCTGGTTTAACTGTAGAGCCTAATGTGGCTCGGTCCATGGTCCCCAACCTGGGGGTCAGGACCAAGACAAACCACAACATTTTCCAGATCATTTCCAGATATTTTTCCAGATCGTTTCAAGCATCAAAAATGATTAAAATAAAACAAAGAAAAAAACCAGTAGACACATGATCATCCCGTCATTAAGGTTTTACCACCTGCTGGTTATTCCTGGGTCTCAGCTGGTGATTAAAGGTGACCAGGCCTTTGTTGTTCGAGCCACCAAACTTTGGAACATTTTTCTTTCTGCAAAGCACTTTGTAACTTTGTTGAGAAAAGTGCTATATAATTAAAGTTTATTGTTATCATTATTATTAACATTATTATGATTATTATTACCAGACAGAACAGCTGGTAAAATACTGATTTAGGGTTAGTTAATTATGTTCAAACTTTTCTTTGTTTGTGCATATAGTAATGAAAATTAGCAGTAGTATAAATGAATGTGACTTTCGTGTCAGGTCAAACCAGTTTTTGGATTATATCTGCATAAATTTGTATTATATGTAAAAAAAATCTCATTCCAGTAAAGAAGATTAAACGTGTAGATATGGTATTTAGGTTTTTATTACATTCTGTTTTTATAGATCATACTTTGATTGTTTATACAGGAATAACCTTCTAATATCTCAAAAGAAAGCAGGGGTGTAGCACAAAACTCTGGGCCCTGTACCAAAGCAGTCTCTGTGGGCTCCCTTCCTCTATTGATTTAGAGGCCGGCCTGGCTCTGTATGAGAGGGCCTCCTCAGCAAGGATAAACTGGGGGAAGAGTGGAGCTTGTCTGGCGGGGCGGTGGAGTTCAAGATGCCCTCCTGGTCTTCCTGGGAGCCTTAGCTGGGGAACAAGAGGACTAAAGGTTTCAGGTGTTCATGAGGGCAGCTAGGACACAGAAAGACAGAATTGGGAGATTGCGGGCAGCGGTACTTTATCTCCCTGTGGCACAGGGAGGGCAGGGCCTTATAGATATCAGATCCAGGATGGCAGCCTTCAGACTGCAGGCGGCTCAGAGGTTGCTGTACGGCTGTGCTCTCTGCTGGTCAGCTACCGCCCAGCTCATCCTCAGAAAGGCCGGGCGACTTGGCCTGGATAGACAACTGTTCTTGCTGGACTGGCAGTGTGACCCGTCTGGACTCACGCCATTCTACAGGTCAGCGACTTGACATCACCCGACCTCCTGACCCCTGGCCTGGAATGTGGCTGTTTGAGGAGCCGCTGTTTAAAAACAGCGTCTTGTCTAATGGCGTGCTCTCTTCAGCCACTTTGAGGACTCATTTTGTTGAGGCTGGGGTCGTCAAACTGGGTGATCTAATGAGGATGTCGCTGGACACAATGACTGAGGTGACCGACATCAGGTCGTCCTGAGTGCTGCAGAGGTTTGTAGACGAGGTGGGGCAGTTTCTGTCTGCTCCACTGAGGGGTTTTGTTCGGGACTGGGCGCTGGCTGAACAGTGGAGTGACGACCACGAGTACGGGTTCCCCTCACTCATCATCAGTCATCAAATTTGTCTCCTGTGGGAAGAAGCAGCTTGACCACAGCTGTGTAAAGGTCCTGAACCTCGGCTCTCTAGCAGGACTCAGGGAGTCCAAATGGACTGAGGTGTTTGACCAGATTCTTCCCCTAAAGGCTGCTGGCGGCTCCTGTGTAAGCCTCCTGTTGAAAAACGGAAGGCTAACCTCCAGTGGAGGATCATAAACAGAGCTACAAACAGATACAGAGCTCACCTGGACCCCAGCACTGGGGAGGGCTTGCAGGCAGACAGAAACTAGAATGGTGGTTTCCTGTCCTCGTTTTTATTTAGGCTGCTGCACAGGTGGGTGGAGGCTTTAGGGGAGGTTTTTTCTGTTTCACTTTTTTGTTTTTGGGCCAAGGCACACTGTTAAAGAAAGACAGGCACTGGTTCTTATCAATTTCTTGTTAGCAACTGCTAAGCTAGCAATCTGGAAAAGCCGTAAGAACCAGTTGTCAGGTGTGGGCTGGACGGAGCTGGTGCTGTGTCTGAAAGCTCTGGTCTCAGCTCGGCTCAGAATAGATCACTCTTTTTACAGACTGACCCGCAACCTGGATGTTTTCAGGGATGTGTGGGGGATCAGGCCGGTCCTGTGCTCCACTGGGGATGATGGGTCACCGCAGTTCAGTTTTTAGTTGTTTTTTTTAAGTTGTAGGTAGGAGTGTTGTTGTTGTTGTTGTTGTTGTTGTTGTTCTTATGGGGTTTTAATTGTTGACTGGTAATTTATTAGAAGCTTTGAAATGGACCACTTAAGATTTTTGGCCTAAATAAAGTTGTGTGAAAGTCAAAAGTCTCTTGAACCATGTATCTCACGCATCTTTAAAAACATTTTTTACAAATAATTGGGCAAACAATTGTACACATGGATCAGTAGTGGTTATTAGGATAGTCACTAATGAACTATTCATACCACATTTAAACAAGTAATAATAATGTGATATGTCACTATATGAGCTCACCTTGTCTCACATCCTCAGTAACATCAGGAGATGATGAGGGACCCACTCTCTGTGGCTGTTTCTCAAACTAAGGGCCATGTGTTTCGTGATGTTAAACTTTGCTGGGTATTTTATTTATTTGATAGATATAATGTCATATGACATTGTATACAGGTATAATGCTGATTAATTCATGATATTGATTAATTCATGTTATACAATGCAGTTATGCTCCAAGCTAGATTCCTCGCTGACTGCCTTCAGTCTAAACTGCTGATATTAGCTTAAACCATTCTGGAACCATAGTTTCTTAAACCATTCTTAAACCGTTGTGCTCACCAAAGAAATCAGTTAGGACTTGTTTTCCCTCAGGTTGCTTTTTTTNGCCTTCAGTCTAAACTGCTGATATTAGCTTAAACCATTCTGGAACCATAGTTTCTTAAACCATTCTTAAACCGTTGTGCTCACCAAAGAAATCAGTTAGGACTTGTTTTCCCTCAGGTTGCTTTTTTTCTATTTTCTTTCTTTCTTTTCTTTTTTGTGACCCTGATTTCCCCTGACTATCCTGGCGCAAATTAGCACTCTAGCATTAGCAGTCACTCAACTGCAGTTTACGTTTTGGGGAATCTGTGCAAGGGTGGACTAAACCATTTTGCGCTTTCTGTAAGGGGTGACAGTGAGCCTCCACTATTTTTTATATATATACAAAGTTCAGTCACTCAAACGTTTTATTCAGCCAATTTAAAGTTACTTGCAACATTAATTACTTAGAAATAAAAAATTGCAAACAAAAAACTACTTTTCATCCCAGGCTTTTTGAGGGCCCCCACTGGGCACCTGGGATGTCAGTCCCACTCTTACCCCTACTACGACGCCCCTGAAAGAAAGTAACATTGTGGTTTTGGAGCGGACGTTAGGTTTTAAATCTGACATGTAGTTGTGGTGTGTGGTGTTTTCGGTGAGGGGCGGGGCCGGTTTGGAGGAGAGGGGCGGTGCAAAGATGCTGAGGAGGGATAACGGTGGAAGCAACAGGCAACAGCCGCAAATCTGGACAAAAAAACCCACAGAGAATCAAGAGAAGAGCTGATGAAAGGTAGGAGGGATGATTTATGATCGATTTATCTACGAACGTCTGATCAGACTTTAGTCATATAAAGGAAATAAACGCAGATATCTTGAAAGAAACTGTTCGTTGCTTCTCAGTTCACTTCAACTCGGTGCAAGTTGATAATAAGAGAACAAGCCTTGTAGTTACGTGACATTTAAAAGAAGCAGAAATAATATAAAAATAATTCAAAGATTTAAACAGGAGGAGAAAAGACTTTGAACTAAACTAACATTAAATAAGGACAAGTATATATAAGCAGGTGTAAACAGATATTAGCTACAACTGATTACAAGATTGGTCCAATGAGCAACCATCATAAATGAATTAGCCTGTAGAATATGATGTGAAAGCTGCACATTGTTTGTGTTTGTGTGTCTCTGTAGTTTCTCTTCAGTCGGCAGCGAGTGTGTTAAACAGATGGACAGATCTGTCCTTCACTTGCTCCTGATATGGCTTTTAAAGATCAGTCCCCCCTGGTTCTTCATCATGTATCATCAGTCATCATCTGTTATCTTCTTTTAATTCAGTACCTGCAAATTTGAAACAAACAAGAGCACTTGAAAAGCGTAATTCCCTCTGGATGTTAATAAAAAATGATATTTGATAAGTGATAAGTATGAAATCTAGAGTAAATGTACCTTGTAATTGAAAGTCAACACTCAAAGACTGTAGGGAAAATGGACAGAGCATTTGTGATGTCAGCACAGTGGTCTAATGGAACATGTTGAAGGTTGGACAGCCGAGTGTTTAAGGCTCCCCGCAGATGATGAGCAGTGAGCTGGTGAAGCTGTAAGGTGTGGCCCAGAGCAGAGCAGAGGTAAAGTGTAGGTAGTATAGGTTTACGTCACAATGTGCACCAGGTGGCAGGAAGGCTTCATTGTTTACTATCTGCCCCGTCTGACTGTTGACTCTCTGAAAAGCTCTTCCTGTTGTGATTTTTTTTTTTTTTACATGTTTGGGAGCAAGATGAACTTTTTATCCAGCACAGGTCACTTTCAGGTCATTGGGTTAGAGTTATTCATTAATAATTCATCAGTTTATGGCAGATGGATTATTAACCCCATAAAACTAAACTACCTATGGGTTTTATCAGTTTATGGCAGAAAGAACCTACAGATTGTTTAGTTGCAGGTCCTCGTCTGTTCTGTGTGATTCTGGTTTGTTTTAACGAACATCAAAACTCTTTCTTCTTTTCTTTTCTGTCTCGCCCCTCAATCCTCTTCTTTATTCCAGCAGGTGGTAATTAGTGGTTAGGCCTAATTATGATGCTCCAGCCTGATAACAAAATGCCTGACAAGAAAAGCACCGTGTGTTTGGAGGAGCTACAGTCGGGAGGAGCAGTGTTTTTATGATATTGTATGGACCCGACACCTGGTTGGACACTGACATTGGGGTCCTCAGATCATCTAATTAGAGAGGGGAGTGTAATTATAAAGGAGAGCAGAGATTCATCTTATATACAGTGTTGGTTGTGCAGTTTTGACAACAGCTAGCTGTGTCTCCATCATGCTGATGTAACCAAGTCTTTATCAAACAGACTAAAAAACTAGCTGTACAGGCTTGTTGTGGAAAATCTGGAATTCATTAATGCAGCGTTGCAGTCATACAGATTTAAAAAGACCTACATCATCTCAGAAGAATTATTATTTAGCAACAGAATAGGACTGAACAATTAATCGAAATCGCAATCGCAATATGGCCATGGGCAATATCCAAATCATATTCTCCAGACATAAAGGAACATCTTTGTTTGGTACAAGACCAACAAAAATCACATCATCATCAGAATAATGAATTGGTCATCATATAAACTCAGTATCTGTATCTCTTCAGTCCTCTTCAGAACCAACCAGATACCAACTGAAATTCCCAAATCAAAGTCAACTATGGTCGTCTGCCTCCTCCACTCAGACTAGTTTCAGGTTACATCCCTGTTTATCCAGAGTCATAGAAAATATCAACCATTTGGGTGAAATGTTGTCATAACTGCTGCGTGAAGTCTTGAGTAATGTCTAAAAAGCATTTTATATGGCCACCTTGATCTTTGACCTTTCACCTTTCACCACCAAAATCTAATCAGATTGTCCTTGAGTCCAAGTGAATGTGTGCCATGTGCCAAATTTGAAGACGGACGGACGGACAACCCAATCTGGATGATTTAAATCAAACTTAAAAACTATAAAAGTTCTAAACTGCTCTCACCAACTATGGAAACAACGTGATTAAAACCAAGAACTCACAGAGTCATCATTTTTCTTGTAATCAACTGACATGCTAATATTTAACATTTGGTCGAGTAACTAAAAATGTTGCTCTCCCAAACCAAGAGAGCTTTGCTATCTAACAGGTGAAACTATCTTGCAGACTTCCTGTGCTGTTTTACCAGCTTCAAGAGTTCTTTGAAAATAGACAGGAACTTGAAAATAGGCTGAATTCAGGAAGGAACATTGGAAATAAGTGGAATCAGATTAGCTGATATTTGTTTTATCAACCTTAAAGGAAACATGTTGAGCCTTACTGCTCAAACTGAGTGAAGACGGATGGACTGAGATGTTCAGAAATGATTGTAGAGGACAGTTTCAGGTCAGTTGTAATGGCTGACTGACTAACTACCCTGCATGTCTGGCGTAAATGGTTGGTTGTCCGGAGAACCAACACCTGAAAGCCTCCGATTACTGACATGGTTTCTCTGGGCTTACTGTTGCACTGCAGCTATGATTAAAACAAGCGTGTGTGAGTTCATACACAGCTGAGTTATGAGAGACAGTGAGAGCTACATTATACAGCTGATGCTGGAATCAGCTGGACTGGTCTACACAGAACAAACTGGTCTACAGATTTTCAAATGGAAACTGGAATCTGGACGCTGGTACATCTGGCCAATAGACTGCACCTACTGTTTGTTTTTAGAAAGCAGGTCTCTCTAGAAAGCAGTATTGCTACTTGAATTGAACTGTTTGTATGTTGAAGTGACGCCTGTCTGTTTGTCTGTCACAGACTGTGTCTCTGGTCTATTGTGTTGTCAGTCATTATAAATAATCATGGTGTCCCTCTGCTCTCCAGCTGCCAAAACCACCTGATGCTGCAGCCTAATCTGGTCGCCTGGGACTAAGCACACATACACATACATATATACATACATATATATATATATATATATATATAGATATAGATATATCTATATATATCTATATATGTATGTATGTATATATATATATATATAGTATATATACACACAAACACACACACAACCAACATGGCATCAGACCCGCCCATCCTGACAGAGCAGGAGGAGCTGCAGAGGAGAGTCAATCAGGTCACAGATGAGGTAAGTGAAAATCTAAATAGCTTCATTATTATAGCTGTAAATAATTGCTTTATCATTTATTAGAGGGGTTTACCCTTTAAGGAAAGTTATGTTGGTGTCAGATAAGCAATGACTGTAAAAGAAATCACTGACCAAAGTAACCAGACACAGCCACAAGTTTTACCTCACATTGTTCTGGAAATACTCAATATGAATTTTCTTATGTTTGAGGAATATTAAATGAGAGTATTAAAAGGAAATAAATGACAATATTAAACGAGAATATTAAATGAGAATAAATGAGAATATTCCCTGAGAATGAATGAGAATAGTAAATAAGAGTAAAGTATTCGTGGATCAACTTTTAACAAATCAGAGCTGATCATTTCAAATCCTAAACACAGTTGTCATCATCATGTAAAGTAGTTTTCTGAATTGTTCGCTTCCTGCTACCAGATGTAATTTCTTAGACCTCCTCACTGAACAAGAAACTACTGAGATTCAGGGTTGGTGTTTACCAGATGACTGTACAGCAAATTTGATTGTTCCACATGAGGTTTCCTGATAGTGATCAGATCAAGATGGAGCCATGTCTTTGCCCTCAGTCAAGTAATGCTAAATGCCAAACCAAACTGGTATCAGGCCTATCCACTGGCTTCAGGTACACCAACACTTGGCTGACAAGACCTGTTCTCAATAGTTTCATTCAGTTTGACCAATAGTCCACAACACAAAGATATTCAGTTTTCAAAAATATAAAACAGAGTAAAACACTTACTTGATAAATTACTTAAATTGATACAGAAGATCTAATTCCACAGTCTTAGTCATCAAGCCACAGTTAGCATCAGAGAGCTTTTGACATTAGCAGTGCTCAGCACCAATATTCTACCTGTAAAGCTATCAATGAAAGATTTTACTCTTTGTTACTTTGTTAGGGAGACATGATACTCTCCAGTACTTTGGCCTGTCTGAGGGTTTATACTTGTTTTTTTAAAGGAAAGCCAGTGTTTTTTCTGGTTTTTAAATTCAGGTAATTAAAGGTAGTTTGTAGAGGCTCCAGTTAAAGTGACCTCAAGACCAGGCCATAAAAATAAGAGTTAATAACACAAAACAAGACTAGGTCAAAACCTAATATATATCTGGACTCCTTATGGTCAAATCCTGATTTTATAACTGTGACATCGTCTGACAAAATCACCAAACACATAAATTAAAGACAAAGACTGAGCTTTGATTTCAGCTGGATTTACTGTAACATGATCAGTCAGAGAGAAAGGTAGAAGAGACAGACTATCTTTCTTATTTAGTCTCTGACACAGAGCACAGCCTCCATCTGGATCCACATTAATTTAGTCTTTATTTACTTCAACTACAGAACGTAACAGACTTTTATTAGAGGCAGGTCTTTATGTCTCACTCCCTCTGATTGATATGTAGAGTTGATCAGAGCTGTATTTTAGTACAAAGCCTCGTTTTCAGTCTCTCTCGTCTGTTGTGTTAAAGTTACTGCATTACATGTTTGAACAAACTCAAGACTCCCTGTAACTGTTTCAAATGAAAAGCTCTCTAGCGTTTCGGTAGAAAACCCTTTAATTCTTAACAGGGCTTTAATTGCTGTGCTACAGTAAGCGTATTGTCTAATTTCCTGTGTTTCTGTTGTTTTCATGCTATTCAGATCTACTAGCTTCTTTAGCAGTTACCAATGACTTGTCTCTCTTCCTCCCTCTCTCCTGCTCTCTCTGCTCGATGTGTCTTATATTTAGTTATTCTTCTGCCTCCTTTAGTAATAATGATACATGTAATAAAAGTAGTTTGTTTTCTGTAATGGAGGCGAGGCTTAGTGTATTGGAAGCACTCCTCCTCTTCCCTGCAGTTCCCAAGCAGCCAGTAAACCAGAGTGACTCAGTAGACTGCCTGAAAACAAGAGGTGCAGCCCTAAGACCCTGGTCAGCATCCAAACACGGTCCAGTCCTGAACCAGGTTTATACCAAGGCTTTCAAAACAAGTTTCTAGATCTAGAGACAATGAGCTAAGTTGGCAACACTGCAGCTGTAAACAACCCACCAATAGAACCTGTTTATACCAGAAACTCAGTGATTAGGCACTCGACTGACCAGTGGTGGAAATATGATCAGTCAGCCGGTCAGTCAGTCATGTTTATAGGGCTGGCCCTGTTGTTGTGGTCCAGCCAAGAATCTATGATGTTCCCTCTTCCAACAAACCTTTAGAGCTGCTGAAGAAAGTGTAAACTCTTTCAGTACAGTATGGTTAGCAATAAAACACTAACAGACAGCAGCACTGAAATAGATGTATTCCTCGTAAGGGCAGTTTTCAGGTTTGACCTGGGTGATACAGAGTGTAACATACACCATCCTTTCACCACCGCTTCTCCAGGAAGCAGCAAAACTGTGTGTGTGCAGGACAAAGAAACGTCAGGGGAATGTCTTGACCGAAACAAAAGATTCAAAATAATCAAGCTGACAAAGCAGAGGGTCACAAACATCACAAACATGAGAGGCAGGATCAGTATTACTGAGGTGTCACAGTGTCATGTGCCTGAGGGGAGGGTCCCTTTAAGGGCACCTGGCTTACCTGGTTGCCATGGAGACAACCGGTCTCCCAAGAGAAACATCAGGCATGGATGAGCTCATGCGGGGTGGTGCTAAACACACACACAAACACACACTCCCCGGAGTTTAAAGGCTACTACAGGTCAAAGCAATTTGTGACCTCATCATCCCCTCAGTGGGGAAGTCCATGGGAATTGATATGATATTTACACAACACTTGTGCGCACGACACACACACACACACACACACACACACACACACACACACACACACACACACACACAGAATTTCGTGTGTGACTGACAGTACAGTGTAAACAGGTCATCATGTGTGCTGGCTTTAAAGGGAAAACAGCAGTTCAGTCAGTGTATTTTTGACTATAAACCTACAAATGATAAACAAGAGTTTGATATAAAATCAATATATGAACCTTTTGTGCATTATTGAGTCTTTATGAGCCTGAATGATTAAACATTTTGGAAAACATGATATTGTGTTCAGTTTAAAGAGCAGTTATTTCTCCCCAGGGGAAATTATTTGAAAGAAATACTTATTCACTAGTCATTTTAAACTTTATTCTCCATACATATATAATTCTGAGCTTGCATTTAGACTAGTTGTTCAGCTGACCTGCTACACACTGACTCAAATACTAGGTTGCACTAGCATAGCATCTTATGGAAATTACTTAATTATAAGTGTAGCATTTCAACACTGTATTTTTTTTTAAACCTACAATTAGTGCTAAATTAAATACTTATTTCCAGGACAAATCAAAGGACATTCACAGAATAGGTCAAATAACAACGTTACCCATTTTTAGGTTTGCAAAAGTGTCATACTAAGTTATACAAGGTCACAGAGATGACATTGAATTTGTGGCAACTATAGAGCTAAACTATTGTTTGGAACTCTTCATTTCAGTATCTGTTGAATTGAATTTCAATATACAGTATTTGAAATTGGCCTTTTTGTGTCTTTCAGTCTCTGGATAGCACAAGGCGGATGATGCAGCTTGTTGAGGAGGTACACACACACACACACACACACACACACACACACACACACGTATATATACAGCATATATACAGTATATGTCCTACAGAGCCTGAAACGACAAATGAGAGATATAAAAATTGTAAGAGAGTCAGTGGGCGAACAAACGTAATCATGAAGTTCATTATCATGTTAGTGTCATCATCTCTACATTAGCCTCCTCCAGTGTTGTTTCCACTGGAGGAAATGCCCAAATAATGACTTTAAGCGAGACAGATGCCGGGACGTGATGAACTTAAAGTGATTTTGGGCTCTGACATGTTGAAAACAATGTGTGTGAGAACAGAGTCAGACACAGGGAGGGGCTACATACTGCTCAGACAGTCTGTATGTATGTTAGCTAACTAGTAAATCTCTATATTAAAAATGGCTTCATTTTACTTTTTTTTACTTCATTTTTTAATTTTACTGACAAACATTCAACAAAGCACATCATTAGCATTTATATTGTCTGTTATGTAGGTAGCCATTGGTGTCAGTTTATTTACATAGAAATGGATTTGAGATTGTAAGTATTGTCATGTGGCAACATCGACGTGAGCAGGAAGTGTGGGTGTTGTCCGCCAAGGTTTTACAATAGTCACCACATGACAATTATATATTATCTATCTGCAGCAACTTTAAAACAATATGGCTCCCCGGAAGAAGGGAAATTATGCATCATGATGATCATAATGTGTTTTTATATGCTCCATCCTCCAGAGTAAAGAGGCCGGGATCATATCTTTGGTTATGCTGGATGAACAAGGAGGTAATCGGTTCTACTTTATCAGTGTTTAAATTCTCCTTTTTTTTAATCATCTTCCATGTATTATGTAATAAAGTAATATTTGTTTTTCAAGAAGCAAGGTGGAGAGTTCCAATAATGCCTCAGTTACTTAAAGATATTTGTTTATTGAGTAACTGAGAGGTAGAGGAGAAGACTGGCATTACTTTGATCTCTGTGCATTCAATACAGTTCCTGTAGCTTTGTGACATGTCTAACAGAAAGACAGATCGAGTGAACTGCTGGCCTACATCAAAAAAAAAACCTGTCCTATTTACACATTAAGTTAACTACACAGAATGGGGGATTTTCAAATTCATCACTACCAGATGAAATAAAACCCCTAAAACCCGCTAATACCCGCTATCATTGGGCTTTTGTCGGCAATGGAAAAGGGTAGGCTACAGTCGGGTTTTCCTGCATTTAAAAAACCTGCTTATACCTGATAATTTTGGTGGGAAAAGGGTATAACTTGGGCTCTCACCATCTTTCCAGTGAGTCAATTAGTCAAGGTTTACAGAACTGATAACTGATAAGACCTAGAAGCTGTTGTATGAAACTATGAAGATATGTTTGTGGCCGACTCAAGGCCCTCTAAGATTTGAGCTATGATTTTTGGGGGTTGTCAGCGTGGTCTGTACATGTCGGTCCTTACGCTCTTGACCAATCAGAACGCTCAGCTGAAACCCTCTGTTTGTACACTGTTCTATCTCTACTGTTGTTACAACACCATAAAACCCACCACCATAAAACTCCTGTTCCTAACAGAGCAGTTGGAGCGTATTGAGGAGGGCATGGACTCCATCAACAGGGACATGAGGGAGGCAGAGAAGAATCTGACAGACATGGCCCAGTGCTGTGGTCTGTGTGTCTGGCCGATCAGGAAGTAGGTCTGGTGTCCGGGATCCATACCATCATCCAGCTGGTGGCTTAAGAAACCCGTCCTTGTGCCCAGTTCCATTTAATGAGCTTAAAATAATAATAACAATTTAACTAACTAACACTGACAAAATAAGGCATTTTGATGACACCAGGTTCAAACAAAAACTTCAACTCTTGCCATCAAGATTGGCCTCAGACTGTCAACTTTAAAGCCTCTCAGTGACCTGAGGACTTCAGTTACTTGCCAAACCATCTTTTACAAAAAATATTTTCCTCTGTCGTCTTTACTGCACAGCTTTTTTTCGGCTTTTCTATCCTCCACAACGATCAATCCTGGAGGTTTATGTACATAGATCAGTGTTTCTCAGACTTTTTTCAGATCAAGAACTTAACCGCTGAAATAAACCAAGTATCAACAAGTATCCAGCCGACAGGACGTCGAACCAGGGATTCCCTACTCGTGTATATCGTGACAATGTGACATGCGCCCGTTATCAGCAACCCCTGCACCTCGCACACAGCGTGGCAGCAGGCGGTGCTATTTATGTAGCATCAAAATGATCACACACATATGAACACTGCATCAAACGCACTACCAATCTCAGTCGTGGTGACTACATTACTAGTTAAAGTTGTAAGTTTACTACAAGTTCACTAGTAAAATAGAATAAAATAGAATAGAATAGAATAATATAAGAAAATAGCCTTAATTGTCATTGTACAAAAAATGTATAATTAAATTCTGAGAACGACTCCTGATCAGTGCAAACAGTGCAAACAGTAACAACACACAAGGTCACAAAAGAATATTGCACATAAAAGACTATGTTGCTTAGAATATAATAAATACTTTAAAGAACAGTGCTTTGAGTAGCTGTTGTTTATAGTGAAGATTAAAATAAGGTGATGATTAAAATAGGTCAGCAGATGACAGCTGTGAGTGCACATTTGTGGAGCTCAGAGTAAAACTCTCCTGCTGTGTCTGTTGTGTTGGAGGTTTCATTTAATTTTCTTCAATAAAGTGAGTGGAAAGTGACAATAATTGCCCAGTGATTATAATCAAACATAAATACAACAAAGAAGAAGAAATTCTAAGCATAAATACATATGCATAAATATATATGCCAATATATGCACATAAAAATAAAAAGTCATGTTTGAAAATATATTGTTCTTCCTCAGATTCAACAGTCTGTCAAACATTGCACCCCTCATACCAATTCAACCAGAAACATAATGGAACTGGGTATCAAGGCCAGACTGCAAGCAGCCAACATATTAGCTCTCAGTCTGGCTCAGCTCAGCTCAGCTCAGCTCAGTTTGGATCTGTTTGCTCCAGTTCCTCACAGCATTAGTTTGTTTAAAGTGACGTTATTTATGGTTTGCGGGTGAACTAAGTCAGTTTTTAGTTTAGTTTGTTCGGTTGCTGGTGGCTGGTTTTTCAGTTCAGCTTTAGGGCTTTTGGGAAATAGTTGGTGATTTTTTTTTTCTTTTTTGGATTTTGTTTTGCCTTCCTCCTCCACTCCCATCTACCATCCTCTCTCTCTCCATTCTTTGTGTTGTCTTTCCTTCTCCTCCTCTTTTGTTTATCCTTTTCCCTGCTGGTTCTCCTATCATCCCTTTTACCTCCTTGCCTTCTTCCTCCTCTTCCTCCCATCATCCTTATACATCTTCTTCTTCCTCTGTCCCACCTCCTTTTTCTGTCATTTCGCCTTTCTGCCTTGCCCTTCCTCTCCTTCTTATGTCCTACCTCTCTTCCTGCCTACTTCTCCATCTTCCTCGCATCTTTTTCCTCCTCCATCCTCCTCCTCCCATAGAGCAGTTGGAGCGTATAGAGGAGGGCTTGGATCAGATCAACTCTGATATGAAGGAGGCCGAAAAAAACCTGACTGACCTGGGCAAGTGCTGTGGCCTCTGCTCCTGTGATAAGTAGGTGGTGGTGGTGGTGGTGTGTGTGTGTGTGTGTGTGTGTGTGTGTGTTTATTTGGCTGGTACACATAATTCTTAGGTAAGTATATGTTGACCACCAGAGGATAGCAGCCTGTCTTCTGTTGAAATAGTGACTTAGAATGGAAACGTAGATCTAGCTAAAGCTAATGCAGTAGACGTTGTGACGTTCTACTGCTGAGTTTGTGTTGTAACTGTTTCAGTGTTGATTCGACCTAAAGGCCATTTTGGAGGCTGCAGTTAGTGCTGCTGTTGAATTGTACTGCATTATGTGGACAGTTGTTTCTGTTATTTTCATCTTCACCTTCATCATCATCATCATCATCATCATCACCATCGACCCTCATTTTCAATGATGCCGAGATTACAAAAGCAGAAATGAAACAAAGCAAACAATGACAATACAAAATCAGTTCCTGATCAGAACAATTACATTCAGAAACATTACAATTCAAAAAAAAATGTTAGAGCGTCTCTCTAGACTGTCTCGATGTTTTCAGGGAGTCGATATTTAAAGTGTGCTGCAGGTTGATCCACGAGTCTAGAGCACAAACTCTAAAAGCAGTCTTTCCAAGCTCAGGGTTCAGCAGAGGAACATGCAGAGTGATCCCGTGCTGAGAGCGCGTTTGATCAGAGCCTACACTGAGATCTGTTAGTGGTGTGAGGTAAGGTAAGGAAGGTAAGGCTAGTGATGTTCTTTGCGCACATCAATGAGGCTATAGGAGAAATAACAAAAGCTCCTCTCAGTATAATGCAATACAGTTCAACAGCACCACATACTACATCCTCCAAAACATGCTGTCATACAGTTTGAAAACAAAGACTGAATATTCTAACCTTCATGATGGAGGATTTACTGCACGACTGTTGGATCAGGCTAGTTTAGTTTTAAGATGGTGTATGCAACAAATTTCCAACTGAGTGTATTACCATCGTGATGTTTGTTTGATCTGATTTTGTGCACGTGGATCATGCACAATGAGAAACACTTGATTCAATTTGTCAGATCTTCCCTTAAACACCAGTTTTCATACTTTGTTCATCCGTTACTGCAGCTTTCTTTTGTTGCCCGCTTGCTTTGCTGTCATAAGGATTTCCAGCTGTTTAGATATCACCTTACACCGTGTTTGTCCTCTGTACTGTACAAATGGACCACTGCTATACTCATACTGGACAGGGGCCATACATGCATTACCTAACAGACGCTTTACACTGGCTAGAGAAACCTGTATTCCAGTAACAATACATATAATGCACCCAGGCTGCAGGACCAGTATGGCTACAGCGGTGGTTCTTGTCCATCACATTAAACACTGAACTCAATATAAAATGACATCCATAAGGTCATTCTCTCTCTCTCTGTCAGACTCAAGGCCTTTGAGGAGAGCGGGGCGTACAAGGCAGTTTGGGGTGGAGCCTCTGGTCAGGACGGCGTTGTGTCCAATCAGCCGCCGTTGTCGCGAGTCGTCGATGAGAGGGAGCAAATGATCATGAGTGGAGGATACATACGGAGGTAGAGAGAGAGTAATGAAGTGTGTTTTTGTAGGAAGCTGGGTGTTAAGAGAGGCATCTGCATGGTGAGTGAGTGTTTGCTCTTCTTTAGAACAGACTGACATGTAATACTACCAGTCATCAGTTACACAGGCAGCTGGCCAAACACAGGACATTTATCATAAACACACACACAAGAACCTGACTGTAGATTCAGATGGAACCTCACATCTTTAAAATAGGAGTTGGCTGTGGTGGTGATGACTTTCCCGCTTCATTCCGCTCCGTCGCAGGGTGACTAACGACGCCCGTGAGGACGAGATGGAGGAGAACCTGGCTCATGTCGGCAGCATTGTTGGAAATCTGAGGAGCATGGCTCTGGACATGGGCAACGAGATCGACATGCACAACGCCCAGATCGAACGCATCCGGGGCAAGGTACTGCTCTCGATACAGCATGTGCCAAATGTCAGCATTTACATAACCATGCATGGGGAATATTAAAAAACAACAAACAAACGGCTCCCGCTATATCTGCTTATCCTGTGTGGAGTCACAGGTCACCAGTCTATCACAGGGCTAATATATAGATAGACCACCACTCACACTCAAAATCATCTGCTCCTACAGGCAACTCACCGGCCCTGTTCAGACCTGGTATTAACATCCGTCTCAGGTGATCCAATCACAGGTCAGCTCTAAGTTCAGGTGTGAACGCACCCAAGACGCGTCTGAGACCCGATCACTCAGACCACATTCAGACGTGGTCTGGACCACATGTGGCCAAGTTCTTTTAGCAGTGTGAAGGGAAATACATCCTGGGCCACAGTGAAGGACCAACTACTCTATGAGGAAGTGGATCAAACTGCTCATACCTGTTTATTTGCATATAAAGCAGGAAGTGAGACTCCATCACAAGTGGTCATTCGAGACACATTTTAAAGCCAGGTGTGAACTGATGAACTTAGAGCTGACCACTTGTGATCGGATCGCTGAAGACGCATGTTAATGCAGGTCTGAACAGGGCCTCTGTCTCTAGTTCACCTACCTATCAGATGAAACCAGAGCGCTAGGTGAAGGCCCATGCAGACGCTAAGGCAGATGAATTTGAACCTAGAACCTTCCTTCTTTGACGCAACAGTGCTAAAGACTCAGCATAAACACGCAAACAAAAAATATATTTGTGTATGCAAAACACTGACGTTGGCCTCCCACAAATACAAAGCGAGGTGACTGGCAGTTAAAAAAACCAGTGAGCTGGATTTGATTTACCCCATTGTCTCTTCTGGCCAGGCTTTCAAGTTCCTTCCTGTTGTCTAAAATAAGGTTCCTGTAATACACAACAACAACAAAAGAGAAGTGAAGAACAGAAGTGTGACAGCACGTCACTGAGAATACCAAACCTTACCAATTATCATTAAATACCATTATAACTTAAAAACGATTTACAGGAATCTGCAACCAGTCATTCCCCTTTAAATTGGTTCCCCTTTAAACAGGTTCAGGTTTTCATTGGGATGTTTTACAGCACTGCAGTGGTTTGTCATTTCAACACCACAACGGGAGCTCAACCATGTCTGCTGCTGGTGGCTTTTTTTCAATAAGAAGAGGAAATGTGCAATTGTGTCTGTTATGATGTGCTGACAAGGAAAAGAAAGAAAGAGAGAAAGAGATAGAGAGAGAGAGAGAGAGAGAGAGAGAGAGAGGAAAGCAGCTCACGCCGGTGTTAGTGCAGGGCATGTGGTAAAAGATGCATAAACACAGAGTGGATAGATCGATTTTTATTCATCAATAGTTTCTTTTTAATAATGTGTTTTTAAATTAATTTGAACCATTCATGACTATGCTATGCAAACATTTCTAACCATTGCTTTATTTTTATGTTTTTGTTCATTGTGGATTGTAATACTTGCACTGTAGGCTTGCACAACCTGCTTTGGGAAGACTATTGATTAGCCATTGCAATAAATCAAAGTAGATTTTGACAGATAGACAGGGAGCTCCAATGGCTCTGTCCTCCAGATTCTTATTAACTCATCTCCTGTGTCCTTTGTCGGCCCTCCTCTGTCTGCAGGCGATTCTCAACGTGTCCCGCATCGATGCTGCCAACCAGAAAGCTAACAGTCTCATGAAACGATAGAAGGAACGCGCTTCCGTTTTTTTTTTTCTGCAAATTCATCCTGCTTGCAATTACAACATTCTTGCATGCTGTGCCAATGTGCTGCCGCTGTTATTCTCTGACTGACACAAGTCGCTTTTTAAGTTGTGTTTTCAGGATGAGAACATCATGTAATATTTTTGCTGTCATATTCCTTCAGGGACTGTGTCCGTTATTCCCACCGACCTCTGAAATGTTCATTATCTCTTATCTCATGTTGTTGTAGTTTTCCTTTTCCCTGCTATTACCATAATATAATGATAGGGAGTCATAGTTTTGCTGTGATACTGGTATCTTTTTGAAATGTGTAATGCAATTATTACAAAAAATCTTTGTGGGGATTTCACGATGAGGCCTTTGTCACTTTATATTTCACGCTCCATATTACCTCTCAAGGTGGCCTCTGGTCACTCAGCAGAGTTAGATCACAGGAAGTTGTAATGATCCCTGTGGAGAAACTGGGTCACTGCAGCAGCAGCACCGTCACCACCAACAGCAGCGGCAGAGAGCAGAATCAGACAACACCAAATATGTCAGTCAAGAAATAATGTCAGGAGGTGAATATGTGGGGAACAGCAGCGAAGAAGAGCGGCACCGTGGGCCGGGGCGTGCATCTTAAAACCAATAATTTGGCCTTTTTCTTCTTCCGGGCAAATAGAGAAGTAAAACTCTGTGTGTGCAGAATATATGTTCAAATTTTTCATGAGAAAAAATATCAAACACAGCTATCAGTAAGCAGTTTATTTCTCAGTGTAAACATCACTGTGTACCACCCCTCCCCATTTTTCTGTAGTGTGAAATGTTCCAGAGTGGTTGAAACACGTGCGTGATGGTGCCCTCTGCAGGCTCAACCAGGTATTGAGAAGTAGAATGAAACACGCATTTGTCCCCAGAGGAGAAGCTCTGGCGACACCTAGCGAACAAACATGGGACCTGCTCTTCCTGGCCTCTCCATCTTCTTTCTTCTCCATGTTGATATAAAATGGTGGTGAAATGACTATGGATTGCTGTTGATTTTTTTCCCCCTCTAATCTTGTTCCATCATTTGAGGGGGAATCTGCATCATTCTTTTTGCTGACACTGTCAAGAGGCATATGAATCAACAATTCTTTGAAATTTTTGTGCTTTTTGTGTCTGAAGTTTTTCATAAGAACCAGTTACATAATTTTTTGGTTTACATTCATTTGCTCCTGTGGCTGTTGGCTCTCTGGGCATACTGTTCACAAGCAACCAGTCGTGTCTCTAACTGTGATCTAGAGTAATGCTGTAATTCAGATCCTATGGTTCATGTGTATTAGTGTTATCATTTGCATATGTTAGTTCAATTAAGCTGGTGACCTTTGCTGACCTAAACAGGCCTTCACTTCTGACAGCATGTTTCAGACAACTATTAGGATCAGGTGGCACAACACTACTGAGCATGTATACTGGTGTGTTGTGATGAAATGTCAAATATCAACATCATGGAATAAAAAAAGGTGCAGAAATGTATGGCATGCATGACTCCGGATTAATTGATTATGTAGGGGGGGGGGTCTGGGTGATTTATCAGCATCCAGTCATCAGTTATGTTCTTAAAAAACAAAAATGTGAGCTAATTGTGCAGAATTTGTGAGTGTTGTGCTTGATTTTTTTCTTGAAAATGGGAGTGATTGGTGCACACTGTATCTGGGACAGCTGGGGGCGCGCAGCAGCAGCATGAAAATGTTGCGCGTTCAAGGGAGGAAAAAAAAATCTCTCGCTCTGTAGAGCCTGCGCAGTTCAGCTGTTCTCGTCACTCCGAACTTTCGGGAGAACCACAGAAGGAGGGGAGAGAGGGAGAGAACAACGCCATTTTCCCTGGTAATTATTTTCTATATATTCAGCTTTTTTTTTTTTTACACCACACATCGCGGTTAGTTCCAGATAGCAAACCGCACGCGTGTCGTCTACGCGCAGAAAAACATGTATAGCTACCCAATGCTAAAAAGAGTGTAACGCAGAAGCTAGCAGGCGTTTCGTCCTCCCGTCGGCCACCGATACGTCGCGTAGCTCTAAGTGGCGCAGCGGAGCGGCGCACAAGTATAGCACGCGTCGTTTAACATCCGCGATTAATCCACGTATGATTACCGAAATTCACAGTGAGTCGGGTTATGCCATTTTTAACATAGCAGCGGTTCAACCCTGCGCAGCTAACAGAGATGGCGGTGTCTGCGAGCTACTCTCTGTGTGAGCCCGTCAGGCACGAGCAGTAGGGGGAGAGGCAGGAACAAGCTCAACAAAGGCATAAGAAAGATCGCTGCTGATTGGCTACCACGGGTCACGTGGTCAGAACAAACGCAATGCAAATTTCCATCATTTTATACTGAGAAGTTGTCCTCAACTGTTAATGTGTTAACAAATACACATCCTATTCATTTTGACTTTACATGTAGAAATACTTTTTTTTTTTAAAAATGGACTTTAACAGAGTAGCTAGAGACACACCTCACTCATTGCCTCAGTTTAAAACACTACTCAAAACATACTTGTCTAAAGCAGCTGTTGATTCTTGATTTCAATGCTTTGATTGTTGGTTTTTACTTTTGATCTTATTTTCTTTTGTCTGCTTTATTGATTTCATCGCTTTAATGTGCATTTTTAATTCTCATTGTTAAACTTGCCTTGACACTGCCTCGCTTCTCTGTCTTTTATTGCTTTGTTTTGTTTCTGTGTTTGGACAGCACTTAATAGATCTGTTATGAAAAGTGCTATATAAATAAAGTAATTATTATTATTATTATTATTCTTATTATTATTCTTATTATTATTATTAAAAAAAAGAAGGGGAAAAGTACAGTATCATTAACCTGATGCTTGATTAGTCAAACATTCATCTGTTTAGGTTTGGGTTTAGGTTAGTGTATAGATACATATATTAGTGTATGTAATACAGAATTATATATGTACACACAAAGACTTTTGTTGGGTAATTATGTTTATTGAATATAGTCTTAAACAAGTGGATAAATGACAAAGACGTTGGTCATCAGATAAATATAGACACCAGATCACATTACAACAAAACATTTACCATCATTGTGGGTAATTCTACATCAGGGCGTTTTTATTTTAAAATCTATCCAGGAGGGGGCAGTGTAGGGAGACAGAATAAGGAAGGCAATGATGGAGATTGTAGGAGATTCGTGAGCTAGGGGCCATAAATATTTACATTTCCTTTGCGTAGATGGAGCTGTTTATGGCACTGACTTTTCAATCAGTATTAGCATATCTACCTTTTACTTACATTTACTGATTTCACTTTTGTCAAAGTCAACATACATTGTACTGTATCTCAAGAAAACACTCATCAGAAAGAAGGATTTAAAAAAATGTCTGTTTGAAAGTGAAGGTGCAAACTTTTCTTTTTCTGATAAATAAATGTAATGACATATTCTTAAGGAGCTGTCACTCAGTAAAGAGAACAACAGTAAAACAATAATGGTTTGTGGTAGAATGCAATATTAGGTATGCTATGCATTTTAGAACTAGAGCTCTGGAATGTCTGTCGTGCATTGTATTGTGTCTCATTCGTTCTCCTTCATCTCTTTTTTTTTTTTTTTTTTTTGCAGACCCTGTGCAGTCAGACAGGTGTCTTTAGTCCAGACTGGCACGTGGATCAGCACCAGACAGTCCTTGTGGGTGGAGAAAAAGAGTCGTAGTGGGCCATCACAAGAGGAGGAAGAGGTGAAGGTGGAGCTATGTCGACCACTTGGCGTGATGAAGATGAAGAGTTAAGGGTGGGAGGAGTAAAAGGCGGTTTGAGAGCCAAACCGAGGTTCTCCTTTACAGAGGTCAAACTGCTACTGGAGGCAGTGAAGAGGAACAGATACATCATCCTTAGTGAGTAAGGCGGAGTGTGTGCGTGTGTATGTGTGTGTGTGTGTTTTGGTTGGTTTTGATAAGATTATCTTATTCCTTCTGTTTGATAGGACCTTGTCTAAAGCTTGTAGCAAGCAGCGGAATTGTACTGAGAAGTTATGCTTAAGCTTATAAGCATCCATCTTGGAGAAAAGAGGAGATAGTGGGTTTTTGCTTGCCCCTAGGATCAGATTCAGCCAGGAGCTTGGTGACATTTGGTTCTGATATTAGAGATGTAAAGTGGGCTCCTGGTTCTGGAAGTGTTTCTTCCCCTGCTTTTCCTACTTCAGTTCTCTTTTTAAAATGACATCTGCAATGTTGCTTAACACGAAAGCACAGTATCATCCTGAATAATGATCATAACCACCAGTTTCTTTCATCTTAACTTTTGGTGGACAGTTTGGTGGATAGTTCTGAATACTATAATATCCATGAACCTCGGCTGCTGTTGCTGTGGAGGAGAAGCCAGTATTAAGTGTGAATCACAGTGGTAGAAAATTAAAATGGTTTGCTGTCGCAGCTGTAAGCAAAACATGATGCCATAATTCATGAATTTACACAAAATTGAATCAGAAATTAAAAGTTAACTGATTCGAGCTCACACCATTTGTTTGTGGCAGAGGTGACAGAAACGTGATCGCTGTGATTGGATGTTTCTTGCTGAAATGCACCATTGAAGAACTTCGCCTTTTTATCAGAGAACCAGATATTTCCTGACACAGTTGTTATTCTCTTTTACTGATTGTTGGACGTGAGTCAGGTGAACTCTGTGCAGTGAGGATACCAACGCTGTTGAGAAATGTTAAATATGAGCAAAACCAAGTCTCACATCATCGTATTTTATCTCACTCCCATCTGTAGGGAAGTTTAACCAAGGTGTGTCAGCTGAAACCAAGAAACAGACCTGGGCTGAAATCACAAATCAGATCAACGGTCTGGGAGAGAATCACAGAGAGGTTTGTGATTGTCATCATCTTATCAGGGTTGTGTGTATTTCCAGGTGTAATGTTCAGGTATACTGTCAGGCATAATTTTGTTTGAGTTATAGATGTGAAATCTGCATTTAATACATTTCTCAAGCAAGTGTTCATCTCAATATCAGCCTTTTGTATAGATCACACCAGTGGTTCCCAAACGTTTGACCTGCAGCTGAATATTTGCTTTGTCCACTTGGACCCCCTTCAGTTCAGATGATAAATACTGATAATCAAAATTGCTGGCACTTAATTTTCTGTTCAATGACTAATCCACTAATTATTTCTTGGCTAGTTTGAAGCATCTGTAAAGGCTACAGCAGTATCAGGCTGCTACTTGAGGAAGCAGGTGTATCAACATGATAGAAGACTTCTTAAAGGCAGTTGTATCTTCTCACAGGTGCGGCAGATCATGAAGAAATGGGCTGACCTCAAATGTGATGGAAAGAGACGCATCGCGGCCCTGCGGGGCCCCAACGGCAGCAACCTGAGGAAGAAGAACCTGGGCCCCGTGGAGAGGATGGTCCATAAGATACTAATGATGAGTCCCAGAGGAGGTGAGCGAGACACTGGATTTGAAATTTGGTTGTACTGGTAGAAAAATAATTTCTGGTGGAATCTTTGTTTTGAGAGCTTTAATCCAGAAGACAGATTTTACGTCCTGAAGTGGTTAGTCTTTGGCTGAATAGTGTTTTTTATAACATCCATGCTGAGAGGAAATCTGTGTGGATTTGACTGAACAATATTTAGACCATTTTTTCTCCAGCATAAAGAAAATGTAAAAATTCAAGGGCAGCAGCATATATGAGGTGTAGTGCATCCAAGTAGTGATGCTGAAATTCATGCAAATGGAAGAGAGAGTCAGTTTGAATTATTTTATGTGTCTGCGGTTGGAAATTAATCCGGTTGTTAAGAACCAATAAAATTAATTAGAATATCCATGGATTGGCTTTTATATCAATCCTGTGGTTTGTACCGACACATCCCCAGATGAAGCAGCTCTGCTGCTTAAACTAAAACTAAAACCACAAAGGCCTTACAGAAAACAGATCATATGGAAATGGAGTGGAAGCAGAGGGATAACAAAAGTCCCTGTAATTGAATAAATAATGATATTTATACAGCAATTTTCATACAAGAGATGTAGCTCAAACTCCTTTATAATAAAACATCAAATAGTACAATAAAATAAGGGCAAATTGAAGGACAATGAAAATAGACAATAGAAAGACAGTACATGATAAAATATGTAAATGCAAATAAAAACAGAAACCAGTAAGAACAGTAAAATATGAGAGAATTACTTAAAAGTCAAGTAAAATAAAAAGGTTTTCAGCTGTTGTTTGAAAATGTTCACTGAGCATCTCTTAAAGCTCTTGGCAGGGTGTTCGATAGTTTTGAGCATCGTTAAAGAAAAGTGCCTGTTTTCTTGTGCATAAAATTGTGTCTGTTTAAATTGTCATTATTTTGAAGTGTTATTGTTTGTCTTTATTGAACTAGTTTTCATGTGTTGGTTCTCAGATGGAGACAGTGATCAGGACATTGGAGAAGATGATGATTTCTCAAAGCTTTACACTAAAGGCCTATCCTCGAATCCTGCTCCCTACTCCTACCTCAGCCTGACAGACAGCTCCCACTCGTTACCTGGAGGAGCCTCCTTAGACCTCTCTCCTCTCTCCTCACCAGAGAAAGAACTTGGTGGTAAGTAGAGCTGGTTACTAAGAAAATGCAGTGAGGCTGCACCAGTAACATGGCAGGAAAGTCACTGGTGCACACCAACATGAAAATTGTCCAGTCAGTTTCTCTTTAAATTTGAAGATCCCTTGACGTGGTTACACAGCTTTACCCATTCCCAAGATAAAAAACTGAAATTCATCTGGATTACATTTCTATTGTAAGTGTGAAGCACTTGGGTTTTAATATTGTGGACTTTTGAACTTGACTCAGAGTGCACAGCAGAGTCACAAAGACCTGAGTGAGAATAAACATTTTCTTACAGTGGCGTGGTCGACGACAGTGGTTTTATTTTAATGCGTCATCACTTTCTTTTCTACTCTGTTGCCTCCTCTCTAAAATACTTAATAACTGGGGTAGTCGTAGACATTTTAACATTGCAAAATTTCTGCCTGCTGCTGAGCCCTTCAGTCATACCATTGCTGTGTATTGTCTTGCAGGAGATCCTTTCCATTCCTCCTCTGACTTTGACGTAGACTTGGGTGATGATGGAGGTAAGAGTTTAGTTTTATACAGCTGCTATTTTCATACCAACCATCCTCTCCACAACATTCTGGCAGGACAGAGAAGCAGCTACAGCTGCAGCAAACGTCTCATCTCACTGCACTGCAGAACAGAGAGGTTCAGGAGATCCTTTGTTCCCACTGCCATCAGGCTATACAACACCTCAGCCAAAGGAAGTGGACTAATCTAATTTATTATTGTTTATTATATTATAAACTGTTTTTATTATATATAATAATAATAATAATAATAATAATAATAATAATTATATAATAATTATTTATTATTATTATTATTATTTATTATTATTCAATGAGCTAATAGAGACATGAATTTCCCCTAGGGGATAAATAAAGCATCCATCCATCCATCCACCCACCCACAGATTGTGAAGACAGTCTATTCTGTTGTTAGACAGACAAACAGCAGCTGCCAGAAGCAGCTCAGGCTGCACTGACTGTCCTCTCACCTGTTTGATTGGTTGATATAATATTCATAAAAATTATGTTTTTTTCGCTTGAAATTTTACATTTTTAATTTTCTCATAATATTATGCCTTTATTCTCATAATATTACTTTTACATAACTTTTTCTTGAAATTTCCGATTTCTTTTTTTTCCCTCAATGTGGCCTTAATTACCAAATCAGATCCAGACAGTGAGGAGTTTTTTTAAACTGAAAAAGAAAAAAAAGTACCGATATAATCTGCATCATCAGTACCATGAGTTTATGCATCACATTTTGTACTTGAAAAGTAAAATGGGATCCCAACATGAATCTGAACTTTCATGTGGCCTCTTGTAAAAGCTGTGAAAAAACTCAAAAACAGAAAGTGTGTGTAGATCAACTAAATGGATGTCTCTTCTCTCTGTCATCTACCAGAACACAACATGGACTTTGAAGAAAATGATGACTCCTTGTTCTCCTCCCATCCTTCCTCTCTTCCCCCGCCCTCATCTACCTCCCTGGACCCCCTGCCGGATGATGCCTTGCTGAGGATCAAGCCAGTCCACACTTACTCCCGAAACAACAGCCAGAATCACAACCACATCCAGAACCACAACTACTCGAGACCTACACCTGGACCCTCTTCCTCTGTGGCCTCCACCTCCTCCGTTCTCCCTCCAGTATCTGATTCAGACGGTGCCTCATCCTCCGCTGCACCTCCTTTGTCTCAGTCCCCCACAAATGCCAAAATGACTGGCTCCTCCATCCCTGCTCCCCCTCCTGCCTCCTCCTCCTCTACGCCTGTTGCAGCCAATAACTCTACCTCTCACCCTGTGCCCTCTTCATCCTCATCCTCTGTCCCACCACCTCCTGCTCCTCCTCCTGCTTCCTCTGCTGCTGTATCCTCCTCCTCTTCTGGTGCTGCTGTAACCACCGCTCCCTCATCTTCTGTCCCTTCAGCGAGCCTTCAGCAACCACCTCCCTCCTCCTCCTCCTCTTCCTCCTCCTCCTCTTCCTCCTCCTCCTCAGTCCTCCCATCCAATCAACCCCCAACCTCAACCTCAAACTCATCTGACCCTCTGCCGGCTGGAGCGTCCTCCCGCAGGTCCCAGAACCACGTGGCCCAGATGGCCTCTCAGAGCCTCCAGCAGCAGCGGGCCAGCAGGATGCTCCTGACCTCGGTGTCTCAGTCTCTGGAGGTGCTGGCTCAGTCTGTCCAGCTGCTGGTGGAGAGCCAGCAGGAGTTTGTGCAGGAGTCTCTGCTGCTGCAGAGAGAGACAGTGGACATCCTGAGGGATTTCTCCAACACGGCGCTGACTATGCTGAGGGACAAAGCCAACAGTGGACATTTGCCGACACATCATCATCCCCCTTCACACTTCTGAAAAATGGACATGAACAAACTAGTAGGTTTTTACAAAATGAGACAAAATGGGAAGGAACAAGCCAAGTGCAGGGGAATTTTGAGTGCTTCAGGTTTAAACTTCTGTCTTATTAGTTAACATCATAAAAGAGAAGGTGATATTTGACTTTAACAACCTGAAAATGGGACAAATTATTTGCCCAAAGGCACAAAAACATGCCGCTTTGAGTCTTGTTTTTCGTTATGTATCTGCTGTTGGTTTGTAGCAGGCTCGTGTGTTCTCCACACTGTAATTGGCAGTTTAAAGCGAGTTGTTTTGAGCTGCTGAAATCACCCGCTTGCAGTGAGCGGCGATGGGACTGTGCTCATGTGTGGAGAAACAAACGCAGATAAGATGATGCAGAGACAAGAGTCCCGCATTTCATTTAACATTCGGCTCACTGAATGACAGGAATTGAGCAAAGCAACTGTAACATGTCAGAAGAATATAAATAGATACTAATCTTGCATTTTAGATTTTAGATCCATACGGTCACCATTTTAATGCTTTCAATGCTGATAAACTTAATCTATACCGGCTCAGCTCAAACTAGCCCCCCAGTCTCACTGTTATTTCCAACATGGCAGGCGCTGAGACAGAGCAGGAAGAAAATGAAAACGAAAAGAACTGTTTAGTTGAGGTTACTGCTGAATTTACTGCTGCTGGTGAAAAAGTTTCTTGTGTCATTTCCAAAGGGTTCATTTTTTAAAATTAAGGAAAGAGAAAAAAATTTCTCTCTGGTTTGTCTGTGCGATCTAATAACCTACTTCCAAAAGTCCTCCACAGTTTGGTCTGGGAGCGCCTCAGTAACATGAATTGGAAACTCTGTTTAATTGAATGAGAGAAGAGAATAAACAATTGTGCATGATCCAGTTCAAGAAATCATCCCGTTACAGATGTAATACCAGATCCCAAACACCTGCCTCTGGACTCAGTGTAAGGTTACATCTGGGTCACTGTCATCTGATGCAGCTAAAATCACAATGAATGGGTATTAAATAAATCAGCATAATTATTATTATTATTATTATTATTAAATACATGTCTTTGATTAGGGAGGGAGGGAGAAATCTAATTTGCTGTTGCTGATCAATGAAAACTGATCTGTTTAAAATTCTGTGGGTCGATTGTCTTGTGGGAGTTAATTCTAGCAGGTTAACATTATCCCACAATGCAAAGTAAAAACAAGCAAACAAGTAATGATGAAACAAGTGTCACTGATGGTGCTAAATATTTAGATTTTGCCATCATTACTACAGTCTTCCTCTTTAAATCTTAAAAGTAGTGACTCAGAGATGGACACAGAGATGGATAATGTTTTCTTTTAGTCCACCAACTACTCTGCGTCGCAGGGGCTGTGTGATGTTTCTAACTGTTTAAAGACTCCTTCAAACCTTCGACACTGTGTTTTTCTCTCACCAGGCAAACAGTTCGAGGAGCGATGTGGATAAATGTCATTTTAAAATTGTGATGTTAAAATCAGTGGAGAAACTGTTAAAACGAGTTAAAATGTTAAATGTGTAGACCCAAAAACCAGGAGTTTGTTTGAAATGTTTGTCTCTTTCTCCCCGGTCTCAGATCAGTCAGAAACATGCTGAATAAAGATGAATATGACGAAAGCAGTTCTATCGTGCAGTGGATAAAAGAAAATATTTGTAAAACTCTTACTAAAAGCTATTAAAGGAAGTTTCATGGTAGGACCGCACTACCAGCCCAATGCAGTTAAATGCTTTTGCTGTTGTTAGTCAGTTGAACCCTGCTGCAGGCCTAACTGCCCCCACCAAGTTCTGAATGTGGTCAAACGGTGAACGTGGCTGGTGAATTTTGTAACATAGATTTAATGTGGAATCAGCTGAGCCAATTCCCGTGGATAATTGTCCCACCCCATAATCCTTCCCTCCAACCTGACACCCTGGCAAGCATCAAATTTCTGAGCGTTTCCAGAAATATAAGAAAGGTTTCAATCTCTAGATCTGAAATTTGGACAAAACAGCAGCTTGTAAAGTAAACCAGTGTCATGTACACACACCTGGTTTCAAACAGACCAATAAAAAACCCTGAGTAGAAACTGAGACAACAGTCTGAGAAGCAGTTGTACTTGTTGGTATTAAAGATGTACTGCTGCCCATAATACCACATAAAGATGATGAGCTTTTGAATTCTTGTTCTTTGCTCCTCCTTCTGAATCTGCAGACCTTACCCTTGGAGATGCAGTTTCATCACTTGCAGCTGGCTCTCTGACCAATCGACTGTAACCAGGCTATGTGATGTTTCTTACAACCAAATCCTGAGGATAAAGATTTTTTTTAATAAAAAAAGACAAATCTGTTGGGAGAGTGTTTTCTTTTTGTTTTTTATAGAAAGGCAGCACAGTATGTGGCGAGGTCTGCTTATATGTTTTATTTTTCTTATTGTTAACAAATCGCATGAGAACAACAACACTAACAGGGACTGTGTGTATATCGGAGCCTGATATGTCTCGCACCCCTAAGCCATAGAGCTCCACTGATTCCAAAAACTGTTAAAACACATAGCCTGCTGTAAGTGAGACACCGTTTCACTGGGTGACATGTTCCTTCGTCGTCACAGGACACACACTGTAGTTTATTTTGACTCGGTGCCACACACACTCTGGCCTGCTGACCCAAATACTCAGTAGACTAGAGAACCAAATGTAGAGCAGTCCTCTCCTTAAAATAGTCCTACTTGTTAGCTAAAAACTACAATGTCCATCTGTTTTAGGAAATTACTTTAAGTTTTTAAATAGAACTATATGTTTATGAACTGTTTTTAAACAAGATTTACAACTTGGAGCTGAGGGCTGCAGACAGTAGGGAAGTCAGGACGTATTGAGGGATGGATTAACACTTGGTTCTGGTCTTTTCATGGGATTTGATAACAATTAGGAAATATCAAATAACTGAGTTCACAGGCAGCTTGTTCTGATGACTCATATTTCTGCATATGACACAAACTCATATCATCTGTGTGTAAGGTACAGAGAGGTGTGGGGCCTTTTTAGTCTTATTGTGAAAGCACAACACCTCAAATAAGTCAGCACATGACAAAAAATTTCTTGCGTGGCTGAGGTGGGGGGTTTATCAAATCATCATCCTGTCATCTGCTTTCCAGTCATAGCCAATGACCAGTTCAGTATTACCAACATCTTCATCAACATCTGTGTTTGTCACTAAGGCTGACAAAATCATCAACCTCATCAGCAGCATCACTGGCAGAGTTACACTTTTAGTAACCACTGATAATGTGGCTCAGCGAATACACAAAGATAAATATCGCTTAGTATTCTTGTGTAAAAAAACAACCACATGGAAGTAGCATCTTCCGGTATGGTTTGATTTGACTTTCCTCCCCACTGGTCAGATGAGCTTTACTTTCCAGTCCAGATGGCCAGCTCCAAAAACATACTGGTGGTGCAATGCTTGAAATGAACTGGACAACTGATGAGACGATTAAACGATGGAGAGGAAACAGGTCATCTGACCAGAAAAGCAGAGCTGATAATGTCGCATCTCAAGTCCTCAGCATGTTGCTTGTATCAGTTGTATCACTTCTTGTGGCTTAAGCTCTTCATTTGCTCCAAAGAAGGAAAGATTAACAACTTATTTCACATTTTCTTATGTTGTTATACTTGTTTACAAGTTTATCAAAAAGGAAAAACTATAACTAAAACTATAACTAAATATCACATTGATGTGAGTGGCTCCCACTTCCTTTAAAAGAAGTATTTTTACTCTGCAGGAAGGGAATGTATAAACTGCACTGATGTTGAAATATGGATTTTTAATTTTCAAGCTGTGAGAAATTCGACTCTTGAAGGCAACAGTTCAACAGCAACATTGGTCCATGGTTACATTAGCGGAACAATTGTTTGCCATTTCTTTCTATTCACTGCGAACGTCTGTGATACCACTGGCAACTTTCTCCATTGTTTTTTTGTTCCATGTCTTTCCATGTTCTGCTTGGGCTCCTCTCTGCAATGACATCCTCTGTTGCATGTCTTCTGCCTCACTCTTTGTAAGGCGGAAGACAGGCTTTGTGTCACTCATCTCACAACCAGCTGCACATACAGACCGATGTTATTTCTCCATCTTGGAAGACGGCTCATTATGATGAAACTAGGTTGTAGCTTGTTGTCTAACTATGGTAGCAACAAGGTATCCTCCAAGCTGGACCAAAAGACCCCTTTACCACTCTCTCGGGCTTCCTGGAGGTGATCAGAATGCACCTCTCCTACCAGTCTGGCTAATGCAGTTCCTCTGAAAACTGTCCCATTACACAAAACTAAGAGTTCATCAGGTTGAAACAGATTACAGCTGGGCACTACTCCAAAGTGTTCTTCTATCATCCATCAGCAAGACAATCCCAGCTGCTTGGACAGGGCTTTTAACATATGTTCAAAACTGAAGACATGGAAGGACATCAGAGTGTTTACAGTGCTGCACACATGCTCTGCACACATGCTCAAAACTGTCGCTCAGTTAATTGGGAGAAAAATGGCTGACAAATGTTTGAGGGATTTTGCAGCATTTGCATTTGCCAGGTTGCAAACACTACCTCAGTGACCACAGACCTCAAACTCTTCTGCTAACTGTGCACTGTATTAACTGGCAAACACATCATTGATACTGTCCTGGATAATATGAAGGCCAGGCAGAAACTTAATAAAAGAACCCAACATGGAAGAGACAGAAGAATTAGAAGACATCCGCTTAGCTCAGGAGGAAGATAATGAAGAAAGAAGAAATGCCCACACAATTGTTGGCAGATCTCCCTTTACATATGACAGAAATGGGGGCAACTTGTTTGTTCATAAAACTGCTTCAAATGCTCAAACAAACTGGCTTCAGCAGTAGTAGATGCATCTGTACCATCTGTACCGCTAACACCAGCAAAGCTGGGCCGTGTCTATGGAGACGTCATGCGGCGTGCTGTAAAAATGGCGTAAACTGTGAGCTAAAACTGTCATAAAACATGAGTAAATGCCGCTCACGTTCACATTCATCATTTGTAAACTGATTTGGTTACACAGCGTTCACTAAAAATATGAACATTCATGCACAACACTGCTGAACACCAACACTTGCTAACATTACATGATAAATGATATTTTATATTGGTAATTAAATGACAAGCTAACACTGTAAATGAGAGGGGGTGTTATCAGCTAGCTAACATTAGGTAGCTAAACTGTAACTGAGGCAAAATTTAGAAACTAGCTAAAATGAGTTAGCTAAACTGTAACTAAGGCAAACGTTAGAGACTAGCTAACATTAGTTAGCTAACTTAAGATAAAATCAGAAACTAGCGTTTTCCATAGATACTTGACACAATCACAATTATTATATACCATACCAGTGGTGTGCCATCAGGGCAAGCGAGACACACAGTGCTTGCTCAGTTAAAGCTGAAAATAGACATCAATTAGAATGAGGAAGCATATCTCTCCTTGCATCTGATCTCACAACAGCGTTCTGTCCCATAAAGGAACCCGTGCCTGTTTGCAATTTACTGCCCACTTGTTGTAGCAGCAGGGTACTGTCCCTTGACTTCCAGCCATTGTACCTATCGTTTCTGTCATTTTTGTGGGTATGACTGTGTCCCATTGACAAAGGTTGGGGCTTGTCAAGCAGAGAGGACAGCAGGGAGATTTTCTTTGGAGATGTGCCCATTAAGGATAATCCTGGAGTCTTCTACCATTCGGAGATCATTCTGAGATCAGTCAATCCGAGATATTGCGCGCCTTGTACACGTGCAGATGTGTGTGCATGTCGTTAAGTGTAAACTAGCTAATTTAACTCTGATTTATCATCTCTGTGCAAATTTCTGCTGTAAATTAAGTAAGTCTGAGACAGAATATTGTTTCAAAAGTAGCTCCTTTCAGGAATAGCTCAGTACGTAGGTTGTGTGCATAGTGGGCGAGCGAGAGAAATCAATGAGGCTGCCCACAGGCGGAGGGAGTTAGCTACTTAGTTAGCAGTTAGCAATACAGCTGTGGACATAGCAATAAATGTATGTGCATTTTAGGCTGTTTGTCAGTAAATAAATGCTACGACTCCTCAAGACCAAAGTTCCTGTGTCTCCCATGTGCTTCCCAACTACAGTCCAGACGATATGAGCCAGGAAAGGTTAACAACACTGAGACAGGAAATGGCAGGAGTCTGAGTTGTCACTGGAGTGTGTTATTCTCAGGTAATGGTAAATATTTTCCTTAGCTTTGCTTGCCTTCTGTAAAAGTCGCTGCACGTCATTGTACTATACATAGATAAATCGGCCACAGGATAGAGATCCTATCCAAATTCATCTGCATCAATTTAATGCAAACTGAAAGCAAGAAGAAACTTGTTGTTGCTTTTGTTTCCAGTCAAATGTCACGTTTCTTTGAGTATTAAATTAGATTAAAGCTGGAATTGAATTAAATTATATTTTAATTGATGATACTTTTATGCTCTGAGAGCAATCAGCCCACATGACACCTTTATGATGACCTACAATAGAAGGTTAAAAAAAAGATAACAGCTACATAAATAAAGCAGAAATCCCCTGAGGGTTGGACCTGACTCTGAACTTGATAAAGAGACAGTACATGAAGAAGACAGAGCAGCACGCTGCTTCATGCTGGGCGGACATGGATCACAGAGTGCTGATAGTGTTACTGTCTCTCTGGGGCCCAGGTAGGACTCTGGCTTAATAATGGATGTTTGAAGGTGTTTATGTTTGTAGAGGCAGAGTGTGTTTGTGTGTGTGTTTTAAAATGTTTCTCATTACATAGGCCAAATCCCTGTGTTCACTTCGCACAGATCTGAAACATTCTGCCTGGTCCACTGTGCTCTGTGGTGACACTGTTGCAGCTCTATCTATGTAAATACTGTCCCTATGATATTGATATTACAAAGGAAAAATACTACTATTATTAAATTTACTGTGTTGAGTAACTACAGCAGATTGTATTGTATGTTACTGATATGATCAGTTAAAACTAAGATGAAGATTTATGAAGTCATAAATACAATAACTATGACAGAAACATCCCAAAACATAAACATAGCAATATTTAAAAAATATTATATTAATTATTCAAATTACAGGATGGGATGTAAAGTAAATTAAGTTCAATTCATTATAAAATCATAACATATAATACATATTTTACACATATTTTATTCCCCGTCCCTGAGATATTACATGATATATTAGGAATATTAGAACTTGAAATGACAAACAAAATGATTTGGATGTTTTCTTCTTAATGATAACTTTAAATTTTCATGCAGTCAGACCAAG